GCAAGTTTTTTGCACATGTTTTGACCGCATTGGAGCACGTAGCGGGAGGAAGAAACCATCACGGTGTGTGGGCGAAGACCAGATGGACGGCCAGCGGGTGGAAGAGGCCCGCGAGTCGAGTTGTAACAGAGAGTGGAGTGCGGTAAGTGACAGGAGTGAGGGTTGGGCACTGAAGCAGTCTCAACAGCGAAGGCCGCCTCCATTCTACCAAACCCAGGAGTTACAGGGATGGGTGAAACGGTGTGGTCTACCTGTCAGTGGGTTGGGACCAGATGAGCGACGGCGAACCACAGTTTAATCGGGTTTTTGGCGGACCGGATCACTCCGGTTGAATTGAGTGGAGGCCAGCAGAGCGGACACTAACTCTGAAAACACAATGGGGTGTGTCGTGGCGATCGAAGCAGGCGGGGTGCACCCTGACCGCGATGACACCAGGGCCATAATAAGTTGGGGGCGGGTCGGATACCAGCGAACGGGTTCTCTTCTGTAAGGAACCGTTAAGCGCAGATTTAGCTGGTGATGTTCCGTTAAGGATGCCCGTGCAATTGTCTCCAATCTCTAGACAGAGCAATGCTCGAAAAAGTGCGTCTGGGATGTGCCCATATGATAGAGGGTACGTAACGGTTATCAAAAGAGTAACTGATCGCTGTGCGGCACCTGTGACTGGGCTGTCTGCGCCGACGGCATGCGCAGACGTGGTGGTCCACAGTAGCATGACTGTAGATTGCAAGATCAAGTACAGGGGCCTACAAATCCACAGAGCCTGTAACGAGGGTATGGAAACGCATACGATGGAAACAAGGAGAAGGCTGGATCATAGGTGGTCCCCAGGAAAATCAAAAATACGTCCCCCCTCGGAACGGCACCGCAGGGGTAGCAAACCCTGTCAAGTTTGCGGATCTAACTCGGCCACCGCGGTATTCAGCCGAAACAACGTGCGCCTAGACGGTCTGCTGGTGGAAAAACACTTACGTCATCGTCGTCTTCACCCTAGACGAATTCGGCCTGTTAGTAAGGAAAGTGTGGTTCCCAGTTAACACGGAAGGGAAGGGAGGGGGTGGGGGTATGTATGTTCACCGTTAATGCACACACCATTACCGCGAACTGATTTTCGTCTTCTAACAGTCCAGGGCGCTGTGCATGTTTGCTCTAAAAGCCCGAACTCTCGAGGATCTGGGTGGGCCCCTAGTCCAGTGACATGAATCGAAAGTAGAGCCGGCAGGCAAGCGTCAAAAACCGGTCGGATGCGCGCATCTACGCAACTGCGCAAGAAGTAGCGCCTGTGCTGAAAGGTCCGTCGTGCGGCAGAGAAAACGCGTGCGCGGGCTCGCTCGCATGCGTGCGCACGACGCAAAATAATCCCACCGCTAGCAGTTAAGCAACAAGGGGGGGAGGGGGAGGTGGGATTGGGGCTGTAGAGGCTGTTTTAGCCAGGCTTGGGAGAGAGGCATGCCCCACGGCAAGTTGTCTCTGCCCGACCCTTCGCGCGCTTTCGCAAGTACGCAGGTCCTAACAGTCGGACAGAGCGACACTATCACAATTGTCGGCATACGACCTGACAGAAAAAAACAGAGATCAGAGCTGCCAGTTGGGTTTCGAGGAGTCCACAGGTAGCAGAGGTATTGAATCAATGTAGAAGGATGGAATTGTAGGCAGAATGGCATTACCGACAAAGACAAGGAAGACTGGAGTGGCCATTTCTGGCCCATTGGTCGTCGTCAGCCAGTCATACCCAACCCCGAAGTGTGGAACACCCGAGGCTCGAACTCGCGACCTGTTAGAAGTCCACGCCTCTAACTACTGGGCCACGAGCCCGCTGCCCTGTCAGTTTCGATCGGGAATATACAATGGTAGGGGACGATCACCGATCGTTCATACGGAACTCACTCGTTCCGTTGTGCCTTAAGAGCTCTCTCTCTCTCTCTCTCGAGCCAAACCAGCAGCCGCACAGCGGCGCATGATATATAGGCAGAATGCTATTACGGACAAAGACAAGGGAGACTGGAATGGCCATTTCTGGCTTATTAGCCGTCGCCAGCCAGCCATACCCAAGCCCGAAGTGTGGAACACCCGAGACTCGAACTCGCGACCTGTTGGTTTAGAAGTCCACGCCTCTAACCACTGGGCCACGAGCCTGTTGCCCTGTCGGTTTTTGATCGGGAATATACAATGGTAGGGGGCGCTCACCGATCGTTCATACGGAACTCACTCGTCACGTTGTGCCTTACGGCCTGTACGGCAGCACTCGAATAAATTGCTTCCTCCCACCGCGGATGAGGCCGAATGGGGCGACCCGGTGGTGCTTTCACATACGCCAGAGTTCGGTGCCTAAAAAGGCCTTGCTCGTGTGAATGCGATCTTCGTCAATGTCGTGCAAGAGTGCTGAACAACCCCGGGACCCCGAAAAACCCCAAAACAGATCAATGCAAACCTCTCGAAAAACCGTAGCGTGCGTTAGAAAAGGCAAGCAAGTCGCACGCCCACCCAATCAGCTGAGTCGTCATGCGCCCAAGGTCCCAGCATGGCCTTCACAGCAAAACTTCCGTTTGCAGGGGCCATCCAAAGCCGGCCACATTTGAGCACACACTGGATAACTGGCATTGTCGCTTTCTAATTTCCTCAGAAATTATCTACAAAGGTGGATTGGATCAGTTTATCCAAGGTCTATATGCTCAGAACGAAAATTCTATGCATGAATATGTGGGCCAAAGTCCATCAACCACAGCGGGTAACCGCGTAATATTCATTAACTGTCGACAGACAGCTAGTAGTATACTTTAGGTTAAGGTGGTACCGTACTAACAGCACAGGTACTAGCCAAAAGCCCATACACGCGTGTTTCGTCAATATTCTGCAGTGTGTCTTCCAGCATTCCCTGTCTGCTTTCTGTAAGATACTCCAATTCAGAAATTCCCCAGACAGGGAATGCTGGGTGACCTACTAACGAGCCGAATGCCTCGCAGCTGTGTCATGCAGCGGCAGAATATCGGCGAAACACGCGTGTATGGGCTTTTGGCTAGTAACTGTGCTGTTAATATGGAATCCCCTTATCCTGAAGTGAGGAGAATGCACTGAGACGCTGAAGTCACTCTCTTATACCATTCCCGGGCCACAGCCACTATCCATTCCAGTCAGGTGTCTGGCGCCTTTGGGCAGACTCTCCAAAAGTAGGTGTAGGCGGCACCAACCTCCTCCACTTGGCCTTGTTAGGCGAAGCGGGTCTCGTCATGTCAAATTGGTAGCGTGCCAGTTCTCGAGTGACTAGCGTCGTCCTGCATTCTGGCCGAGGGCTTCTCGGATTGTCTAAAAGGAGACGAACAATTCAGGCTACCAGAGGGAACGGAGTCAACTTATCAGCGGGATGTTGTTTGTATAACTGTTTCGACTGTCAGTTGCTGATCTGCGAGTCGCAGCTTACGTGCAGATAATGCGACCACCGGATGTGGACGTGGCTGAAAAAGCGAAACAACCCGTCTTCGAGTGCCACACACACGCCACCTGATTCCCACAGCGCGTGCCGGGCTGCAAAAATGGCGGTCATAAGGATAGTTTCTTCGTACATCGAGCGTAAAATTTGTCCGGACAGTGCGGGTCAAGGTAGGAGGGAATACCGGCTAGTTCTCGCAGACAGCACACATCACTTTGGGTTAGCACAACCGACTACTCGAGCATCCCCGCAGTGCAGTTGAGAAAGCAAGTCCCAGTCATTCCGAGAAACGCCTACAGCGCATAGTTCAATTCGGAGGCAAGTGGCTCTCAGTGGAGAAAAAATGGTAGGATTGAAATTCCCCTGAACGGCCGATGGGGGGGGGGGAGGCGACCTACCTGGTAGGAGCGCACAGAGCGCAGATCTTCCACCAGCAGGGGATCAAGATGTCGAAGCCAACTACTCGAGAAGACTCGAGACGAGTGCTTCTGCAGGTCGGTCAACATGAGGCGACGTTTGAGTTGAAGGCCATCCATCTCGGTTTCCAACTTCCCAGGCACTGGGGCGGACAGGAAAGAACGCTGGGCAACCCCGTTGGCGCGTGCAGGTTTCGGTTCATCCAGAAAATTTGAAAGCTCCTAAACGCGTGTAGGCAGCAAAAGTGAAAAAACTGAGGCGTCGGGAATCTCGTCCTCTGGTGGGGATACCAATCTTAGGCACAAAAACAGTCAATCAAAGGCAAGCAAGGGAGGCAAGACCATTTGCGGCAAAGTTGCCTTCAAAGGAAACTGGAGATGAGGTGGTAGGAGCGGATGTTGCACAGCTAGACCCTGGAATGGACCGGTAGGGCCGAAATGGGTCGACATTTTGGAAGACGTCAGACCGACGTCTACCAAAACGAAGGACCTAGGCGGAACGTTTCCACAGGTTACCGCACAGGTGAACAGAAAAAAAGGCTGTAAGGACACCTTAGAAACCTCACGCAAATGCTTCGAAAGCAATCAAGTCTCGCGGCCAGGATAAGCCGGCAGTCACCTGGCGTTAAAAAGGCCAGCAGACTGTAGGAGGCCAAGCAGGTGCAAGAACACACGAGACTGCAAAATCGAGGAATAACGCTGCAACAGGCCACACTGCCAGCACGTAGGCTTAGGCGGTACAACTGGAGGTGATTGGCCACTACTGCCCGACAACAATCCCTTGAGAGAAATGCACTGAGAGCGCACTTACGCATCGAGGAGATGTCGCCGTTCGTCTTAGAAAGACGCGGTTTGGGCACGTTCTTTATCGTCTGCCTAATGAGTCTAGTGTTACTGCCATTGATTCAGCTCCGTTGCCCATCCGGAGACGTCGAAAAGGACATCAACTCGGAGTCCTACTCAACACGGGTGGCGTCAGGACGCGGAGGTGATTCTTAGGCCTTCAGGGGCGAGAATGCGGTCGAGATGTTCGCACCAACTACAACTAATCGTCACGCGCGGAGTGGTACAATTTGCGAGGTTATCAAGGCCACCTAAATCAGACATGATCACAGCCGTATGAAGTACAAGTAACAGTTCGACCGTCGTTGGCTACGATGCCCACCATGTGCTCCACAACAAGGTGAGACCAGGAGGGTGACTTGCGCTGCATCTACCGCACTTTATCTTCCCCACTCCCCACCTGAGCCCGGTGTCCAGACAGAGTCAAGAGGACCGGAAGCGGGGGAGGGGGCAGGTGGATGACGTGACCAAGCCCGCACCTTGGCGCTCCAATCCACACCCCCTGGTCCACACCACAATTAACCAGGCTTTTAAACAGCAGCAGCAGCAGCAGCAGCAGCAGCAACAGCAGCAGCAGCAGCAGCAGCAGCAGCAGCAGCAGCAGCAGCAGCAGCAGCAGCAGCAGCAGTAGCAGCAGCAGCAGCAGCATCAACGACAACAACAACACGACGGGTCAGAGGAGGAGGATGATGACTGGGCAGCCACGCTCAGAACCTGCATACCCAGCAAGAGCGCAAGCGCATCTGCCGGCTGGGAGCCCAACCTAAACAATAACTATCAGCCGGTCCGGTTGTGCAATGCTAGCGCGCAGCCGTAGCAGTGGTTGTTCGCTAGACGCCAACGCTAGGCTGCAGCCCGTACCCCTGTTCCCTAACCTTGAACACAACTCTACTGCGATTACAATGGGAGGTGTGCATAAGTGCCTCCTCCCCCCCCACGTCTAGGCGCGAAACCCAACCTTTGCGAGGGCTGCAAAATTGCTGCATATGACTACTGCTCGGTTTCAGAGTTGATTGGCCTTTTCTACGAGAATGCCAGGGAGGGCACAATTGCGGTCTTAGGCCTTCGCGCACTGACTTCGACTACTTTTAGCCTCCAGGTGACCTCGTGTATGCCACTCCAGCGACGCACAACCAACAGACGCTCGGAATCAGAGTTGGTTGGCTCTTTCTACAGGAATGCCAGGGAGGGGCTTTAGGTATTTTTGCGCACCGACTTCGACTACCTTACGCGCAACTGAATCAACTGATTGTAGACGCGAGCACGCAATACGTACTGCTCACGAAAAACAGCCTTATTGACTGACAAGTTAGGTGGAAAAACTGGACTGGCTTGGAACCGTTTGTTTGACAAAACAGGCCCACCAAGGGGGGGGGGGGGGAGACAAATCTACGGTTAACGCCCATAAGTTAAACTCTCATTGTTCGGATTCGATTAGATACTGCGACAGCCAAGATCTATACGAGTGTTGAGGATCAGGGGCTTTCCGGGATCGAGCCCATTCAACTGATCGTTACCAGACTATCTGACCCCTCATCTGCCACCCTAACCAGCGGACTGTGGCCTAAGCAATTGAATGTAAAAGGTGAATAGTTAAGTAGCAGGCATTTTCTCCTGATTTTCGATGCCTTTATAAATTCAAATACATTTCATTGAAACCATAAATAAGAATATTCTTCCTTGTACTCATTCGGTTGCAAATCAAGTATTCTTCAAATAGTATGCTCAAAGAATGGGACAATATAGTTCACATCCGTTACAAAATTTGAAGAATCATATACAAGCGTCTATTTAATGGCGCACAGAAATGCATGATTTCAATTACATGACAAGTATATAGCTTTTAGTTGGAAATCCTGAATACATGTGTAACGGCAGGTCGGGTCCAGAATTATTCAAGAAGTAAGTTCTTTAAAAACCGAACGCTACTCTATCTTCAAGCGAAAAATTGGAAGATGTGATTAGCTACCAAATGAGTAAAAGGAAGAATGTCTTTGTCTACGTCTTCTATAAAATATACTTCAATTTACAAGAGCATAGGAGACAGATGTGAAAAAATCGCACTATTTAAGTAGTCACTCTACGCGGAGTTTGGTTTATGCAGACGGCTGGCAAGAAGTTCGTTTGGAAGTCGGCATCCTGGTGCGACCCAAATATTTTGGGACCATACCACACGAAAAATGATATGACAACGCCACTTAAGTAATCTTCTCAAAATTGAAAACACGTTTCAAAATTGCAGTTAACATTTCAGTCAGTGACCTATTCCGTAAAATGCTAACCGAAATCCCGAAGTGAGTCTTCGATTTGGAAGGATCACTTAAGTAGGGCTGTAAGATTGATTATCTCGTGACGTAATCTCAGGACGTTAATTTTAGAATGCACGTCTTTTCGGTCGCCTGTGGAATCTGCACTTTATGAAAGGTAGCAGGCATTTTCTCCTGATTTTCGATGCCTTTATAAATTCAAATAAATTTCAGTGAAACCATAAATGAGAATATTTTTCCTTGGACTTTTTCGGTTGCGAATAAAGTATTCTTCAAATTATATGCTCAAAGAAAAGGTATACTTGCGATGTAAAGTTTCAAATTATCGGATTTCTTAAGACCGTACTATACCCACTTCAGTAGCATGGCATCTGGTCGTTTGTTAATGCTCCCCACACACAACATTTCTGGTTTAGTAGTTATCGCCAGCTTGCCGCGACAAGTGATTAGAACCAGGTCGTTGTTGACGCATAACGAGAATAGAGTCTGAGCTAGAATCCCAGGCTATTCAAATTCACTGGGTAGGGCTTGACCGGCTGACGATGGTTAATTCGCCAGAAACAGCCAGCTCAGACTCTCTTGTCCCTCGGCGACAAGCTCGTCTGTGAAAATGCAGTACTGACTCACGGTATAGAAAGTCATAACCTCATCCGCCGACCAAAATAGAGGCGATTTGGCCAAAACGTCGATGGGAGGGCGTTCTGCTGGTGCTGAAATGAGAGCCTCCTGCACGAGTTGTTGAGCCAGAAATTCTATCGGATGGGGGTGAAAAAGAGCCGCAGCTTAATAGGGTGGTGGATGGGAGGTAGAAGTAAGTAAAGAAACATGCGGATGTAAACAGAAAACTGCGGGGTCGAAAAGCTGACCGCCATAGGTGGGCGAGCAGTTTGCACACGCAAACGGCCAGATACGCCGTTGCGCAGGCAGGTCAAAAGATGACACGATGAGCCTGAAAGCATTGAGCTCAAAAAAGGCGCCGAAACGCAGTGGCGCGCCTGGCGGAAAAGTGCATTTAAACAAACTGCTGGCGAGGTGTCCCCGTGGTTAAGAACGCTCTTTACGGCAGCCGACCGTCAGAAAACGCCGGATAACCACACGTCGGTGACAAGATCAGGAGAATACGATTCACAAAATCGGTTCCTGGCAATGCGAATAGGAAGGGAAAAACGGCGACTGTACAAACAACCTTGAAATATGCAGATATCGACAAGGTAAACCTGTATAGCACAAACATTGTAGACAAGGAGTACGCAAATTAGGAAACAGTTCCCAACAAGATGACAGACCTCACTCACACAGAAGTCGATATCTTCACAAAACTGCTAGCAATCGGGTGGTGGATTACGGTTTGTTATATAAATCGATCTGGGGTTTCAAGCCCCCGCATTAATCAGCCATTAAACCACGAGCTCTAACATTTCAGCAACGGACTCTCGTTCTATTGCGCGTTCGGGGTTGGTGTTAACTAGTACCTGTAGGCACCTTGTTTCAGCAAAGAAGTTAAAAAAGTTGGCCCCATTACCCGTCGTCCTACGAAGGCCTACAGAGCGGCTGGCTTGGAGCACTGAGGCAAAACGGCAAGGACCCATGACGTTTTACAATTATCCCGTTTACACGTGACGTGAGACGGAGGCCATGATCACAGCCCGGGGCCACTTACGACAATTCCAATGTCGGTCTCGACAATGTCCACCGTGTGCTTCACAACAGCGTGAGAGCAGGGAGGATGACTTACGCATGGACTATTTTATAGTGATAGTAGACTTGCACAGCATCTACCACACCTTCCCCTCCTCCCCCACCTAGATACGGTGTCATAATAAAGTCAAGAGGACCGAAGGTGGGAGTGGCCACAGGTGGCTGGCACCTAGGCGTACCGCTACATCCCCCTTAACAACCCCGACACAGTTACTCCTAGTAACTCAAATTTGGGGCATTATCCACCACTGATGCTGCTTACCGCACCTGCCTAAGTTTCACTGACCGTCTCTACTTTACCCCACCCCGGCCCCTCCTCGAATTCCACACCCCTTACTTGCGTGAAACGATGAACATAACTCGATTGCTATAAGCCCTGATGAGAACCCAGTAGACACACGTTAGCCAAATACAGTAGGTGGGCTACTTCATGAAATGTCAACCGAAATTCCGAAATGCGATTTCGTCTCGAAAAGATTACTTAAGTAGGGTTGTAAATGCTGCTGCACCTGCCTAGGTTTCACTGACCGTCTCTAATTTTCTACCAAATGAGCGAAAGAATGAATATTTTTATGCATGTTTTCCATGAAATATAGTTGGACATTTAGGGGCATCGAAAGTCAGTGAGAAAAAGTCATGCTACTCAAGTAATCATTTTTAACAGAGTGTAGTTTTTGCATGCAGCCCGAAGGAAGTTTATTAGAAATCAGACATCCTGAGGTAACTGAATTATTATAGAATTATACTGCAGGCTGATTAGTTTTGCAACCCTGCTTAATTAATCTTTTCGAAACGAAGACGCATTTGGGAATTCGGTTGACATTTCACGAGTTAACCCATCTACTGTAGTCCGCTGAGACCTTCAAGGGGAATTTTCCGGACTTTAAAAAATAAACCCCCATAACAGAGGTAGTGGCTGCATTCTCGGCAGCAGACATGGTGGTTTCGAACCCTGGAGTGATGTTGGTTCCGGTGTTGGTGGCTGCGGCAGCCGACGTTTCAGAGGACACAGAAGGCATGTGAAGGAGAGGTGAGACTTACGAGCCATTCGGTCGGGCATCTTCCCTCCACCCAAATCTTTGCTGTGATTGGCCAGAGACGTCACTGCGGGCGGTTGCTGACAGTCGTTTATAGCCATCTGGATAGACTGCAGGGTGTAGAAAGAGGAGGAGGTGGAGGTGAGGGTCGCTGAGTGGGTTTCTTTGCTGCTGCTCTCGACGGTAACTTCATCCTTCCCGATTTCCTCTGCATCTGTCGGTTCAGCCAGGTCGAATGGATGCCGACCACGGCTGAGAACAAAGAAGGCCACAAGGCCGTAGGCGAAGACATCGACGGCCGGAGTCTGTGGGGGGAGCGAAAAAGGAAGATGGTGTTTTGAAAGCCGCTGAGGCGCATCAGGAAAAGATATCACAGAATAGAACGAAAGAGGAAGGAGGACGGACCCAGCTGGCGCCGGGGCCTTTTACAACGACGCCAATCCGCCTACTTACGGGAAAAGAGTCTCAATATTCGGTGAGAAGTGGAGACGTCAGGTGAGTGCAGACACCAATGTGGACATCTCGTAAGCCCAATGAATGCCCTCACAGATAAATACAGAAGAGCGTCTCCATGGCAGGCTGGAAACTAGATTGTAAACATTCTATAGCTTGCTCTAGAGCGAACAGGGTTCAGAAAGCAGAAGAAGCAGTATGTTATTACCGATAATGACAAGGGAGACTGGAATGACCATTTTCGGCTTAATAACCGTCGTCGACCAGTCATACCCAACCGCGAAGTGTGGAACCCTCGCGGCTCGAACTCACGACCTGTTAGTTAGAAGTCCACGCCTCTAACCACTGGGACACGAGCCCGTTGCCCTGTCGGTTTTCGATCAGGAATATACAACGGTAGGGGGGCGTTCACCGATCGTCCTTACGGAACTCACTCGTTCCGTTCGGGTGTTCCACACTTCGGGGTTGGGTGTGACTGGCTGACGACGACCAATAAGCCAAAAATGGCAATTCCAGTCTCCCTTGTCTTTGTTGGTAACATTACCTTGCCTTTATTACGCGCCGCTGTGCGGCTGCTGGTTGGGCTCGAGATAGAGCCCGTAAGGCACAACGGAAAGAGTGAGTTCCGTAAGAACGATCGGTAAGCGCCCCCTACCATTGCAGAAGAAGCACACTACAGTCAACCAACATGGCGTCTTGGATACTGCTAGAAACCAGAGGTACCCCGCCTGTTAACAGAACTGAAGGATTAGACTTCGCCGATAAGCAGATGCAAAATCACCTACCGCGGCAAGCGCTCGGCCATTTGGTGCGGCATGACTTCCAAAAGGAGACACAAGCTATGTGGTAGTTAGACAGTCGAGAAGGAAGACTCCCACCGTAGTCCCACTAGGTGGGCCGAGCCGTGTTGACTTACGCGTGAGTTTGCTTATGGTGAAGCATACTTCAGTTGCATCTAACTCACGAGCGCCTTCCATTCCTACCGGCGTTACAAACCTAAGATTATCAGAGATGGGCTGACAAATGCAAACTGCGGCTACGCGTGCCACGCGCGAGCCGGCTGCTAAAGAAGGAAATGGTTTCGCGAGTTCACTTCTCCCATTAGCCCCTACAGTTTCCGTCAGTCGTTCTTCACAAATGTCCAAATGTAGGGGACAGCAAGCCCCTATACAGTCGCCTTTGCGATCTCCTAGCGCCATGTTTGCCACCCAAGTGGGCGTCGGCCTAATTACAGTAGGTGGGCTAACTCATGAAATGCCAACCAAAATTTCGAAATGCGTTCTCGTTTCGAAAAGATTAATTAAGTGGAGTTGTAAAACTAGTCAGCCTGCAACATTATTCTATGATAGTTCAGTTACCTCGAGATGCCGACTTTCGAATGAATTTCGTTCCGAATAGTTGAACCCGACCTGCTGTTACCCTTGCATTCAGGGTTTCAAAACTACAAGCCATATATTTTCCGTGTACAGAAAACCATGCATATCTCTACGGTATTAGGAAGAGACCATATGGGGTTCATAAAATTAAGCAGTGGACTTGAGCAATATTCTTAACTTTACAAGCCGCATTCGTAAATGCAGATAAATGACGTTTTATGAACGGCCATTTCACGGTATTAAAAAATCTCAGAATTAGAAACTTTTTTCGAAACCCAATTATACTCCTCCTTCGAGTATAAAATTGAAAGAAGATGTGATTTCCTACCGAATAAGTGAAAGAATGAATATTTTTATACATGTTTTCCGTAAAATATGATTGAATTTTCAGGGGCATCGAGAATCAATGAGAAAATTGCATGCTAATTAAGTAGTCATTCTAGCAGGGTATAGTTCTTGCATGCAGTCGGAAATAAGTTCATTCAAAAGCCGACACCCTGAGGTAACATAATTATTATGGAATTATGTTGCCGGCTGACTAGTTAAACAACCCTACTTAAATAATCTCTTCGAAACGAAAATGCATTTCGGAATTTCAGTTAACCTTTAATAAGTTAGCCCACCTACTATACGTTTACGTTCTAGAATCGCAATTTGGTGAGGACGTAAAGAGGTCGGAATTCTCGAGAGTAACCGAGGTACCAGGTGGAGGGTGGGTTGACAACCGTCTGGGCCACAATTGTTAGCGCTTTGTACAGTTACCAGCAAAGTCACCAAATTACCGCCCGGAGCACAGCAGCAATTCGACGGGGCGAGGGCAATATAAACTGAGACATAAGTGAGGTTTCGCACCAGTTTCACACCAGTTCAGCCTACCTCCCCATCAGGTAGACAGGCGACAGATGACGCCCTGATGATGCGCCGGAGTGTATGTACGAAACGTGGGCCGAACAGTCCTAAATCCTCAGATTACGCACAGGACACTCACCAGATCCGCTGAAGCTGACGGTGCTGTCATCTCCGGTGCCATCCAGCCCAGACTGCCGAACTGGATTAGTCCGCTGCTGGAGGCCGGTGGCTGGGCTCCCACCTGTTCTCCTTCCGATGCTGCTCCGGCTGGGGGAAGCAGACTGATGGAGTTCTTAAAGTGGCCGTTGTGCACAGGCAGTGAGAGGCCAAAGTCGCCCAGGACTAGGCGAAACTGTCCACCGCCCGCAGTTGCCGACTGGAGGAGGAAGACGTTGCCCGGCTTGATGTCTCGATGAACTTGACGAAAGCACAAAAGAGCGGAGTTAAGTACGAGGAGGAAGGCTGTGCAAGGCACGCATATGCAGATAGCTACTTTTCCCTCACCTCTTACAGAGGGAGGTGTGCAGGGCGATGGGGGACTTATTTTGCTCTCATTCAGCCAATCAACCACCGACCACCACCCGGTACCCGAGGCACAGACAGGCCTGATAAGTGGCACCAATTTGAAGATCGCTTGTCGTGGGAAGCTGATGAATCGGTGTGTGGCGACTCCTGTGTGAACACCCAAAGGTTAGGCGTCTACGAGTCGTGGGCGGAGGAATAACAAGGATCCCGCGAGGGCGGGACTTGACAGTTAGTCATACGACGGGCTACCCCACGCGTACGCAGATGGGCAACTGTGGTACGAGTCTTAGCAGAGATAGGCTGACTCTCAGTGTAATGAACATGCAGTCGCGGACAGGCAGTGGCGGTCATATCCTCAGATCCGGGAATCTATCGGGCAAATCGGTTGTCTTTAAAAGGATCACATGACGAAGGTCGTGTACCGTCAAGTAAGGGTCATCCCGGTACCATTCGGCAGAATGCAGGTGTACCAAACCGGTCGGCCGAAGGGTGGAACCGGGATGAGTGCTTCGGAGTCGAGGCAGCACGCAAGCACTGTCCAGCGAGCCAGGGGATAAGAAGGATTTGGAGCGACCGGTCCGCGCACCCTGGCGGCACTTGCCACAGGCCAGTTGCCCCGATCAAAGCGACTTCCCATCCACCAAAACACTGACGTCTAACAATGTAAATACGTAATGCTACGCCTAGTCAGTGTCCGAAGGATAGGGGGCTTCCGTGGGTGAGACGTATCACAAACTCTTCAAAAGCAGAATAGGTAAGAAAACGGGGGGCGGGGGGGGGAGAGGATGAACGCACCAACGCCGCTGCTGTGCAGAAAGGAAACGGCCGTGGCCAACTGATAGAGCGCCTGAATCACGCCGAGGTCAAAAGCGAGCAGGGGGTGGAGAGCGACGTCCCCAGGGTGGGAGAAGACGTCCAGAAGGCTCTTCTCGCAGCGTTGCAGTACGAGGTAGTGGAAGTTCGGGGAACTGCCCTGTAAAGAAGATGTGCAGCTCGTCATCAGACCATGATAAGGGTACGCAAGAAGCACTCCGCTCGGTTCGCCACAGACTGGTAGCTGGTTCATTGCGATGGACGAGGACCGCAGCTGTTCCGAGGGCGCAGAGGTGAGCTGCGCGTGAATTGGTCTTAAGTGAGGGCGAGTTTCAAAACACCTACACTTCGCCCTCACTGTAGGCACTCACGGCAAGAAGTCAAGACGACCAGACATAGGTGAGGGCCGACGCAACTGAATCCAGCCCTGCATGTACCACACGCGTGCTGGTACGTCAGCTCAGAGGAGGACCAAGTTGCCTCATCGTCCGGTGACTTTACAGGTCATGACCACTAGCACGTCACGATTACAGGCGGGTTCGATGATAATAGTTTGACCGTCGCATCCGACGATGTCCACCGTGTGTTCCACAGCAAGTTGAAGTAGGCACGGTGACTTGCGCATGAATTGGTTTATAGTGGCAGTGGACTTGCACCGCAACCACCTCTCCCCGCCCACTTGAGACCGATTTCAAGACAGAGTCAGGCCCCGCGCTTACAGTGGTCAAAGGTTGACTAACCACATACAACTTTCTGCGCCCTACCGCTCTTGCCTAACCTGTTTTTAAAACTTTTTTAAAACTATCGACTTTCTAAATCAATGTACTCCGCTCCCATATAACAGTCGCGGCCTCAAGAGAGTATATCGAAAGCAACGCTGCAGGTTAACAAACGTAAGAGATCCGGGTCGATAATCTGAGGAAAGGCAAGTGCTCACCGGATCGAGGGAATTGTTTGGCTGACGGTTCGGAGAGCTTGGGCGGCTCTCCATTATCAAAGCGTCTAGTGCAAAAAAGCAACGCTTGCTCACCACGTTGTCTTCTAAATTCAATTCCTAGGATGGATCGAAACTGTCGTGTTGAGGAAAAAATGATCCCATAATAGTTAAACTCGGCATAAATCGGGGCTCTTAAATTTTGATACATGGAAAGCTTATCGATGACACGAAAATGCTCTGACTTTGTAAGTAGACGAGTACTTACACACTGGCCCAACTCGTTTAAACCTTACGGCTACCTAGAGTCGGCTTTCAAAGTATCATCTGTTTGCCGTATGCTATGAGGCCGCAGGCGATCTGCAACCTTTTCGGCGCGATGAAGACTGACGCGAAATCGTGTCGAAACCCGTCCGTATGTGGCAAAAAGAAAGGCCAAACAAAACTACAAAGCAAACACCCTTCTGTCTGACAACTGCAAGTGCACTCTCACGCTGTAACAACCTTCTAGGGGCAGTGTGGACAGAAAGTCTTCATGATCCCGCAGCTAGCTGTCTTCGTAAGCCATTTCCATCACTGGCTCTGAACTTGCTAACCAGCCGTGTTAATAGATCCCTATCCCGCGACAATTAAAGTTCCACGACGGTAAACCTTGCAGCAATTAGATACAATCCAAACAACGCCGACATTCTGAGCGTGTTTTTGTTTTGCATAACCAACGCGAGAATCATCTATCTGAAAACGACCTTGAGGCTGCAAGGTCGAATAGCCCTCGGAATTAGAAACTTACTCTCCACTTGGAGGGCGGAAAGATTTGTTTTCACGAGAGGCGAACCCATTCTTGGACTCCGCCATAAGAGCGGTAGACTGTGCGGAACTCCAAATCCAATAAGGTAATATTATTTACATTGTCTCCCTCTCTATATCTAGTCACGACGCCATCATTCTGCCTGGCTTTCCACTCTCAATCGGGCTTCCAGGGAGTGAGACGCCCTCCGAGGTCGTCGCAGCACCCACCTTCACCGCACTCCGTCTTCTGCTCGCAGTACTCCTCTGTGTGGGTTGCCTGATGCTCCCGGTTGCTGCCCTACTGTGGACTGGCAGACGTGTCCGTCAAGACTCTCTGGTAGGTTTTTCCGGTCATCATCCCAACCGCCCGTATGTCTCCCCCACCCTCCTGCATGTTCACTTCCTTAAGTGAGTGTGAAGCGGACTGCACCGACTGGAGAGTGTGCGTTACCACACCTGGTGTTCAGATCTCGAGCCTATCCTGTGGACTCACCTCCCCCCCCACCTCCTGACGTTTGCGGCAGCCCATCTTCACAACAAGCCACCCACGGTCGCCTTGACCACTGGCGGATACCCTGACGTCATGGTTGCCACCCACGTGGCTGCCGACTTTATTGCTTTGGCCATGCACATTTATCGTGGATTTTGTGAACATGGAGGGACAATGGGACAAGCCAGCATGTTCAATGGAAAGTGTACTGTGGGCCTTTTCGACCTGATTCTAACAACGGCCGCGCTGCCCCTTAGTGAGACTCATGTCTAGTCCCCGGGAAGTTAAAAATTAAACGGTGCTAGGTATCAATACAGAGAGTCGCCGAGATGGCGCAAAAGAATAGGCCACTAAGCAAACCAAAAAGATAATGATTAGTTCGTGAATTCTGTTTGTAAATGACTGTCTGCAGCATCATCCCTCCCCTCACGCGGGCGGAGGCATAGCTTCAGCGATAGACAGTTTCCTTGTAGATGGAACCTGAAACTTGGCATGTTGGCAGCCCGGTGGAGATCAGGTCGCGCGTGCGTGTGACACGCGTAGACGGTCTGGTTAGCTTTGACAGCCACCATAATTCGTCTTGACGCATGAACCTTCCCCACGTATGTAGCTCGCAACCGACATTGCCTTACGATTGGAGCAAGATCGGAGAGGTCGGCAGGTGCCGCGCAAACCTACCTATATAAACTAATTCCCGCACAAGTAACTGGTGCTGCACCAGCCTGTGGGAGCATCGATGGACGAGCTGTCACGCTGGCGCCGATTTGAACTTGTCTGGAAGCACGCTCAAGTGATACGATTGTCTGAAGTCGGTTTGGGAGCTGACTGGCAGCATATAACTATTTGCTGAGGAGAGGATTACGTGGTCAAGCGTCATATGATTCTAGTAGCAGATGGTATTTCTTGTTAAATATCATCGCCTTGAAAGTACAGTAGGTGGGCTAACTCATGAAATGTCAACCGAAATTCCGAAAGCCGTTTTCGGTCCAAAAAGATTAATAAAGTAGGATTGTAAAACTGGTCAGTCTGCAACATAATTATATAATAATTCTGTTACCTCAGGGTGTCGGCTTTTGAATGAACCTATTTTCGACTGCATGCAAGAACGATACACTGTAAAAAATGACTACTTAATTAGCATGCAATTTTCCCATTGATTTTCGATGCCCCTAAATGTCCAAATATATTTCATGAAAAACATGCGTAAAAATATCCATTGTTTTGCTCATTCGGTAGATAATTACGTCTCGCTAACAATTAATCGGTGCTAGGCATCAGTCCAGAGAGTCGCCGAGATGGAGCAAAAGAATAGGTCGCTAGGTAAACCAAAAAGATAATAATTAGTCCGTGAATTCTGTTTGTAAATGACTGTCTGCAGCATTATCCCTTTCCTCACGCGGGCGGAAGCATGGTTTCAGCGATAGATATTGCCTTCTAGATGCAATCTGCAACTTGGCATGTTAGGACGACTACTACAGCAGTCCGAGATCAGGTCGCGCGTGCGCGTGGCACGCGTAGACGGTCGGGTTAGCTTTGGCAGCCACGGTGCCAACACCCACCATCATTCGTCCCAACATTGGCTTACCATTGGAGCAAGATGGGTGCGGGGGGAGGGAGAGAGAGGATAGCAGGTGCCGCGCAAACCTACTACTATAAACTAATTCACGCACAAGCCACTGATGCTGCACCAGCACGCTAGCGTCGACCTGAACTTGCTTGTTCGCGTCTCAGGTGTCTGAAAGCATGCTCAAGTGATACGGTTGTCCGAGTCGGTTTAGGAGCTGACTCGAAGCATATAGCTATTTGCTGAGGAGAGGATTACGTGGTCAAGTGTCATATGATTCTAGTAACATAGGATCGCCTTGAAAGTAACAGCTGTTACCTTAAACAACTTCATCAAGGGTTTATTAGGTTGAACATAGGAATAAGGATTCTCCGTATTACAGATGGCCATGCGCTGATTGTCAGGGAGCTAACTATTCAAATGTCCTAATTATTACCCCGACTCCTAATCCGAATCCCTTGGAATCTGGCGCAAGGTCGCCTGTAATTGTGGGAGGCGATATTCCTGTGCCCGACCGCTTGAACGGGGGCTCTCTAAATGATGCGTCAAGATTGGACAATGCACGTTGTGGTAAGTCCACATACACCCAACTGCACGTGTCGCAGTCTTCGAGGCCTGTGCTGTGCTAATTATGTCATCTAACATGGCAATATCGCGGGCTTTTTGAACGGAACTTCACCCGCGAAAGTATCGCCAGTGTCTGCTCTTTCACCTTCGTCTTCCAGTGTACAAAATCTGCGTCACGCCTACTTCAGCAATATTTCGAGGTCGATCTAAAACTCAACTTAATCCAAAATGGACGAAAAGTGTAAATCAATTTAACGGAAGAAAAGTTCACTCTACAAGAACAAAATGGCATGTTTACGATCACGCCTGTCAGTTCTATTTAAATTTATTAGGCGCCGATCTGCATTTGCAGCATGTCGCCTTATGAAAACTTTTGTTCCTACGACGTCCCACATCTCATTCAACTTAAACGAGTAAAGAAGACCCCGAATCCCTGGAAGACTGTTTTTGAATCTTTACTGAAAATGTAGATTGTTGTCAAACCGCCATATATGAAAGCACAGTAATTCTTAAACGATATTTAGATGTTAACTTCACCGAAGCACTATTACTAAACGTTATTTTACTTGTACTTTCCTATTTACTACGTTTTGGTTTGAGAATATATTCTCTATATCTCAAACCAAAGCTTACTAAATTACAGCCATTTCAGACGTTTTTGGGATACTGCGCTTTTCCAAAAAAATCGGCGTTTCTAAACAACGCAAAACTGCCTTTAGTATTTCTTCTGTGTTTTAATTCTTTCGAACTTGTACTTAATTAACATAGACATTTGACGCATGAAATGGTGGCGGTTTGCCAGTGATTGGCAATCATTCGTAATGGTAGGGTGCGATCACCGATCTTTCTTACGGAACTCACTGGTTCCGTTGTGCCTTACGGGCTCTCTCTCGAGCCCAACCAGCAGCCGCACAACGGAGCATGATATAGGCAGAATGGCATTACCAACAAAGCCAAGCGAGACTGAAATGGCCATTTCTGGCTTATAAGCCGTCGTCAGCCAGTCATAGCCAACCCCGAAGTGTGGAACACCCGAGGCTCGAACTCGCGACCTGTTCGTTAGAAGTCCACGCCTGTAAGGCACAACGGAACGGTAAGAACGATCGTGGTCCAGTGGTTAGAGGCGTGGACTTCTAACTAACAGGTCGCGAGTGCCAGTCTCTGGTGTTCCAGACTTCGGGGCTGGGTATGTGACTGGTTGACGACGGCCAATAAGTCAAAAATGGCCATTCCAGTCTCCTTGTCTTTGTCGGTAAAAAAAATATTGCCCAAATCATTCGTAAATTTCGACAAATTTCATTAGTTAGGTCACGCGCTGTGGCTGCCAGCTCACTGACACGCCAAAGGACGGCGGAACGTCCATCAGTGAGGGCTGGCACCCCAGCAAACTTGGGTCGGTTACCCAAGAAACGGTCACCAGGCATAGGGGTAATACCGCACCAAGCGAGGCTTCGGCGCCGCCAGAGGCAATATGTAAATTCTAAACGGAAAGGATGAAGATTCCCACCTTTAGACCAATCAAACACAGGCCAACCGTGCTGTCAAAGCCGATGAACTGCGATTTACTTAGATATATGGGCTAGGAAAGTTAGTCTGTGCATTCTGGTGAGACGACAATGAACTGACGAACCATAGTCTCATCCCTTTCGACACACTCCGGATTTGTCCCCAAACGAAACTACACCGGTTACGCAATAAACCCGGGAATCCTCCTTCCAGACGGCAGTACATGTAGTGCTTAAAGCTCAGTAACTTTTGAGCAACACTATACCTGTTGAATACCGATCGCCGAGGAATTACCCACAAGATCTTTTTTTCTAAGCAAAAGTGACTGTTGAAGCAGGTAAAAGATGTACGCTGGTGGGAGGGCCAAGTGGCGGTGGCAAGAGTGAGGCCCAAGGAGGCCTGGAACGTACCGTCCAGTAGCAGCGAATCAGATGCTCATGATGATGCTGCAGCAGGATGTTGTGCTCTCGAAGCCAACTCTTTTCAAAGGCCGGCTGCCGTAGGATGCGTTTGATGGCGGCCGGTTGAGAACCGTAGAAACCGCTGGAAGCGAAAAACGCAAAAGTCCAGTGAGAAGACAGCTGGCAAATTGCAAAAAGAGGCCAAATTTTCCCCAGCGATGTGCAAATCTGGTTTGGCAAACACAACGAGAAAAGGTTGGCTGGTTTGATGAATAGGTGGCTGCACTGGGGTGTTCAGCTGCCCACAATAACACGACCTGACACCCTAACCAGCTGATTGCAGTTGGAACAACTTCAGACCTCCACCACCTGTCCACACAAGCCTCCGGATTGGTTCAAACTTACAGTGCGTGACCGATCTCATGAAATGTTGGCCCAAATTTAGGAATGCGTTTCCGATTAGAAAGGATTACTTAAGTGGGGTTGTTATACTGTCTACCATGCAGCATAACCCTATAACATTTCGGACTCGCCAGGATGTGGGCTTTTGAATGCACTTCTTTTCGACCTCCAGCAGAAACCACACTCGGTAAATATGACTACCTAAGCAGTCTGCACTTTTCCTATCGATTTTCGGTGATCTTATAAATTCAAATATATTTTATAGAAAACATGCGCAAAATATGCTTTCTTTTGCTCATTTGGAAGGAAATTACAGTGCATTCATACTTTATGCCCGAAGAAAGTGTGTATTGGGATTTTTAAAAAGTTTCCCAATTCCCGAATAGTTTCCAGCCTTATCTGTCATTGCATCAGCGTTAAACAATTTCAGTCTACATGGCGCATGCTTTCCGCGTAAGGAAAATAGCATATTCCCCTGTGACTTCAAGGCGTGATCTTCTACCAAATGAGCAAAGAAATGCATATTTTTGTGCATGTTATTTATAAAATATTTTGAATTTATAAGAACATCGAAAGGTAACAGGAAAAATGTATGCTACTTAAGTAATCACTTTTATTTTACAGAGTGTGGTTTCTGTCGGAGGTAAAAAATAAGTGCAGTCAAAAGCCGACATCTTGCCGAGTCCGAAATGTTATAGGGTTATGCTGCATGATAATCAGTATAACAACCCCACCTAAGTAATCCTTCCTAATCGGAAACGCATTCCAGAATTTGGGCCAACATTGCATGAGATCGGTCACGCACTGTAGTTGTACTGGGGTGTTGAGCTGCCCACAGTGACACGACCTGACACATCTAGATCACATCAGAAGCGCCTCAAGACAGTGACCTCAGCCGGGTAACCGCCTCGAATGAGGTAACAGACAAGTCTCTCCGACGCATACTAATAACAAAGGGTTGATATTGAGTCATTTGCAACAGGATAGAATCAGTATTAACCGTCTGAGAGAGTTTAGCAAGCCGTTACGGATGGCGAACTTACTCAAACACAATGGTACCATTACTGCCGCATCCGAGTACTTGATTTGTGTTGAAACGGACCACGCCTGGATGGGCGACAGAGTCTGCAGTGTGGCCGGCCCAGCCGGAGGCATCGGGTGAGTCGAAAGATGCCGGCAGAGTGGGTGAGTTGTGCTGCGTTTGGACGCTCTGTCAAAGGTAAAGGGGCATTCATTAGACAAGGCGCAGAGATGGTAATCAATGGCCTGTGATCTAAAGCTGGCCGCGATCAATAGGGAGGAGTGACTGGTGCGAAAAAGGTTTGCAGGAATGATATGAAGCTCAGCTGTTGAATCAGGATCAAGCCTCATGTCTACAAATGAGAAGAGCACGTCCCTTGCTGGTGTAATTGCAAGCGACCGAGATTACACGAGGGCTGGACAAGTTCTAGCCGTGAAAGCTTTTTTTGGAAAAATCGCAGGCTGGGAGATTAGCGCTGGGCGTGTATGAGGACACCGAACGCCGCGGAACCAGTGTGGCAATTTTCCTCCAGTGGCAGGTGTTTAAAAGGTTCCCTGCGACAGGTGTGACTGCAAATATGTCGGGAAGACTGGACATGAAGGTAAGCTCGCCTGTACGAATAGCGCATACCGAAACGGTTACTGCGCTTGCAGCCTCGGAGTCAACAGGCGTGACGGGTTGAAAAAACGTAAGCTAGAGCTGTAAGGCTCAGGCATGCTTGGGGCCGAATGGATAACATCTGGGACCCGATTTTTAGGCGACAGGTAAATCAGACGGCCACACGAGCGTTTACGGGCCCACTGGGCCCCAGAATGCGGTGCAGAACACATCGTAATGACTGGTGTAGGCAAGTGAGTCGATAAGGAGGCGACGGAAGTAAGGGTCGAGGTGCGACCAAAAATAACCAAGTTAGCGAGCCGCATTCGACAGTGCAGCTGTCCAAACTGTCACCAGATTGATAGAATTTCCCCACTAGCCAAAAAAGATCAGGCACATCGTAAAGGAAAACCGGAATAACGCATTGCAGATCCTTGCCGTAGAGGATCAATAATATTCAAAAATCGTACCGATAAGCCTTGAAAGTCAACAGTGACACTTTTGGCTAGTAGTTTTTCCCACTCCCAGACGACAAACTTGCGTCACCATTTGGCAACTCCCCAAGCTACGCCTTCTTTGCGACGCATCGGTGGCGTACCTGCGCATTTGCTGGATTATAGTGGGGGTGGATATGCGAAGTCATGGTCTGACTTTTTCTCCAAAAGGAGGACGGTTGTGGAGGCAGTTTCTCTCACTCACTCCGAGGTACTATGTGTGTTGAATATGCAGGTATGTCAGCCACTCATCGTTGTCACAGCTTATGCAGACTGTTTCGAGACATAAACCTCCGTAAGGCTAAAATTAGCCGACCGATGACTTATCCTGGTACCGCTAGACCCATCCGACAGAGGATGTTCGGCAGAGCACTATGTAAGCAGAGAATTTCAAGGGTGCAGGTATTATGTCAACAAGCAATTCGAATGGAGTTGACATCTATTCAGGCTGTTTAAGCCAGTGGTTATTACCCAAACCTTTTTTTTGAATTGAATCTAGTACTACAGGGCGTTTTCAGCCGGACTAGTCATTATCTTTTTGGTTTGCTTAGCGGCCTATTCTTCTGATCCATCTCGGCGACTCTCTGTACTGATGCCTAGCACCGTTTAATTTCTAACTCCCTGGGACTAGACGCGAGTCTCGCTAAGGGGCTGCGAGTCCGTTGTAATCAGAATCAGGCCGAAAAGACCCGCAGTAGGCGTCCCATTGAACATGCTGGCTTGTTCCACTATCCCGCCCTGTTCACAAAATCCACGATAAATGTGCATGGCCAAAGCTATAAAGTCGGCAGCCACGTGGGTGGCAACCATGACGTCAGGGGATCCGCCAGTGGTCAAGGCGACCGTGGGTGGCTTGTTGTGAAGATGGGCTGCCGCAAACGTCAGGAGGTGGGGGGGAGGTGAGTCCACAGGATAGGCTCGAGATCAGAACGCCAGGTGCGATAACTCACACTCTCCAGTCGATGCAGCCTGCCCCAGATTCACTTAGCGAAGTGAACATGCAGGAGGGGGGAGGGACATACGGACGGTTGGGATAATGACCGCAGAAACCTACCAGAGAGTCCTGACGGACACGTCTGCGCGTCCACAGCAGGGCAGCAACCGGGAGCATCAGGCAACCCACACAGAGGAGTACTGCGAGCAGAAGACGGAGTGCTGTGATGGTGGGTGCTGCGACGACCTCGGAGGGCGTCTCACTCCCCGGAAGCCCGATTGAGAGTGGAGAGCCAGGCAGAATGATGGCGTCGTGACTAGATATAGAGGGAGAGATAATGTAAATAACATTACCATATTAGATTTGGAGTCCAAAAATGGGTTCACCTATCATGAAAACACATGTTCCAGCGCTCCAACTAGAGCGTAAATTGCTAATTTCGAGGGCTATCCGGTCTTGCAGCCTCAAGGTTGTCTTGAGACGAATGATTTACACAACGGATCCTGCCGTTCGCTATGCAAAGCAAGAAGGCTCACAGAATGTCGGTGTTGTTTAGGGTGAAGCTAATTGCTGCAAGGCTTCCGTAGTGGAAGTTTAGTTGTTGCTGGGCTGGCTTTACCACTTATCGACGGAGTTTGACCCGATTTCGTGTCAGTCCTCATTCCTCCTTAAAGGTAGCAGGTCGCATGCCCTTTCACCGCACGTCGCAAATAAACGATACAACGAGCGACCGATCTCATGAAATGTTGGCTGAAATTCTGAAATGCATCTTCGATTAAAAAGGATAACTTAGGCACCGTTGTAATACTGATTATCTTGTGGCATAATCCCATGATATTTCGGACTTCGCAGCTCTTGGATGCACTGTTTTTTAATCTCCTGTAGAAACCGTACTCAGTGAAAAATGACAACTTGAATAGCATGTATTTTTTCCATTGATTTTCGATGGTCTTGCAAATCCAAGGATATTTTATAGAAACCACAAGCAAAAATGTGTGTTTTTCAGTCGTTTGGTAGAGAATCACGTCATCTTTATATTTTACACTCGAAAAAAAAGTAAAATTGGGTTTTGAAAAGTTTTCTAATAGCCGAATAATTTGGAGCCTGATCGATCGCTGCACTAGCTTTTAGTGATTCCAGTCTACATGCGGTCCGCGGAAAGAAAATCACATGCTCTACAATGCCTTCAAAAAGATATCAAATAGAGTCCATATAATTTTGCAATGAATGCGGACTATGTGGTAAATTTCATGAGGAACAGTGGCAAACAGACAGGTACAATGCTATATGAATGGACATTGTGCGGGTTAAAAAATCTCACTATTAGAAACCTTTTTAAAACCTAATTATACTCCCTTTTCGAGTATAACATATAAAGATAAAGAAAGCATATTTTTGCTTGTGGTTTCTGTGAAATATATTTTAATTTTCAAGATCATCGACAATCAATGGGAAAAATGCATGCTATTTAAGTAGCTTTTTTTTTTACCGAGTACGGTTTCTACAGGCATTTGAAAAGCGGCGCACCCAAAAGCTGACATCCTGCCAAGACGAAAATATTATAGGATTATGCCACAAGATAACCAGTATTACAACGGCGCCTAAGTGATCCTTTCTAATCGAAAACGCATTTCAAAATTTCAGCCAACATTCCTTGAGATCGGTCACTGTGATACACTATGGGCTCTTATGCACTTGTCAAACTGAAATAGCTCCAGTAAATGACGCACTGTGTGTTAACTGTACGCCTTTCCAAGTGAAAACGTCATCCCCTTTTTGGAGGTTTTGTTTATCCGAAGTGAGGGGATACCGTTTAAATAATTAAAAGGCATTCACAAGAAAAAGTTATCAAAAGATGAAGGGCGCAGTGTTCCTGTGTTTCATGACTGGTCAGTCACTTGGATATAACTCATTGTCCACATTCACTGCTAAATGTTATAAGGCCTATATGACGTCTTCATGATACGGCATAAACATTCATGGTAGGTTACTCAAAATCTGCCAAAACGCCTATAAAGTGAGTCATGTGGTGGGATCTAGATTGATTAAATAGGAAATCCTGCTTGGGCGGTCAGCTTACTGCATCGGATTTGGTTGATTCCACAAGTTGCCGTAGACTGGGCGGGTAACTTGACCCAAATCTGATTAAACTAATGGCTCCCGGCAGGTAGAGTGTTGGCTGTACTTGCTGGTGTGGGTTCAAACCCCACCGAGGTCGTCGAGTTTTTCACAGTTGAATCAAAATGAAGAATTTCGGTTAATATTTCATAGGAGTCATTGACCACGGCAGCTATCCTCCTCCACCCTCCAAAAAATGGAGGTTCAGAAGCGGCGAAGCAAACAAAGCAATACTACGAAAGCCCAGAGACTACATCACAATGGTAGCGGGGCGCTCACCGATCGTTTCTATGGAACTCACTAGTCCCGTTGTGCCCTACGGGCTCTCTTTCGAGCCCAACCAGCAGCTGCACAACGGCGCATGATATGGGCAGAATGGTGTTGCCGTAAGGCACAACAGGACGAGTGAGTTCCGTAGAACGATCGGTGAGCCCCTCTTTTCTATTGTACATTCCCGACCGAAACCGACAGGAAAACGAGCCCGTGGCTCAGTGGTTAGAGGCGTTGCAATTCTAACTAACAGGTCGTGGGGCGGAGCCCCAGGCGTTCCACACCTCGACGTGGCGTATGACAGGATGACGATGGCTAATAAGCCAGAAATGGCCATTCTAGTCTCCCTTGTATTTGTCGGTAATAACATTCTGACTACATCACAATTCCACCCCCCCCCCTTTGGACGCGGAAGATGAGTTACCCGCTCCTGGGCCTTATAGTATTTTTGTTATGGAGCATTGTCCATGAGACAATGTTGCTAACATACTAGTTTGTGTGGTGACAGCGTGCGAAAAGTAAATGCGTTCGCCCGAAAGGGACAAGGTGGCTTTGGAGGACTGTGTGGTATGTATTGACACTCCAGGCATAAGAAATCGATCCACGGCTTCACCGACGGTGTTTGGCCCAATTTAGCATCAGTCCTAATCGTCCTTAAAGTGTTGCAAGTCTCCTGAGGCATCACGGCGGATCAGAAATAAGTGGTACTTGGCAAGCCGACTCTAAGCAGCTGTAAGGTTGAGTTGGTGTGTAAGCACGCCGGCCCTTATGAAAATCTGCATGCGACCGTCAGATCTAGGCACTTTTTTCATTGAAAATTAACAACCAAGAATAGTGTCGAGTTTAAATATACTGGGATTAATTCTTTGGCAAGAGTATGGTATGCTGCCACAGTGGGATAACCGTAGTTAAGTACAACTCTAGCACAAACTGTGGCCATGCCTGTGATGAGTAACCTTGACCCTAAACTGGCAAGTACTAGAGGAAAATTCATATGCAACCGTAACCTTGATCCAGGCTTTAAAACGCTAGCCCTAACTGAAATTCTAAGCCCTGTGCCTAACCCTAGCCTCGACTTAAAACCGAAATCACAACCTAGACCTGGCAACCCTAGTCTTGAGAAAAACCCAACTCATATTGCCCCAACACGACAGTTTCGATCCGTCCTAGACATTGAATTTAGAAGACAAAGTGGCGAGCAAACGTTGCTCTTTAGCACTAGACGCTTGGATAATGGAGAGCCGCCCAAGCTCTTCGAATCTTCAGCCAAACAATTCCCTCGATCCGGTGAGTACTTCCCTTTCCTCAGATTATCGACCCGGATCATTTAGGTTTGCTAACCTGAAACGCTGCTTTCGATAACTTCTTTTCAGACCGGTACACTTATATGAGAACGGGCTACAGCGATTGAAAAAATCGATAAAAGTTTTAAAAAACACAGGCTAGACAAGAGCGGAGGGGTACGAAAAGTTGTATGTGGCTAGTAAACCTTTGCCCACGGTAAGCGCGGCGCCTGAACGAGGTTCTTCTGGGCACACAGGGTCGATTTTGGTAAGCTGATGGCGACCGCTTCTGCTGTTGCTAATAGGCGCTGACCGAGTACCTCAGGGTAGCTCAAGGGACCTTATAAATCACACGAAATGCTCCAGCGGGGTCCACACGACACCCGGAATCCACTGCATGCGCAAGGATGGCGCTGTCTATTCTCCTAGTTTCACCTTTTGCTACCCATGCGAGGGGATGCTCTCGTATTCTTTTGGAAAGGCGCCGACTCTTACGACCAATATAACCTGCTCCACAGGAGCAAGTGAAGGAGCAGATGCACACTGAGGTGGCCTGAGGTGTGTGGTATGTCTTGACACTCCAGACATAAGAAATCGATCCACGGCTTCACCACTTACGGAAGGTGTTCGGCCCAATTTCGCGTCAAGTGTTGCAGACAACCTGAGACCTCGCGGCGAATCATAGATAAGTGGGTACACTATGAAAGCCAACTTTAAGCACCTGTAAGTTATCCGATTCAAAACAGTACAGAAGATCTGAGTCGGTCCTTACAAAAATCGGCATCGCTTGTCTTGTCCAAAGATTCTTTTTATTTAAAATTGGAAGTCGCGAATTATACAGAGTTTAAATATACTAGGGTTTATCATGTGGCAAGGGTATGGTATGCAGCTCGCTGGGAAAAATGAAGTTAACCACAACTCTTACACCAACCGTCACCATCCATGTAATAAGTAACCTTGACCGTCAATTGGTAACACTCTAGAGAGAACTCATATGCAACTCTAACCTTGACCCAAGGCTAAAAATCCTAACCCTAATTGAAATTCTAAGCCTACTCCTAGCCCTAGCCTCGACCTAAAACCAAAATCACAACCTAGACCTGGCAACCCAACTCCTGACACCAACCCCAATCTTAACTTTCAGCCCGGTATGAGCACTTTTAACATCAAAAACGCTAGTAAAAGTCAAAATCCGCGTACCACAAAGTCCCTTTAGTGGCCTATAGTCAGGCGAACCGTTATGAAACACACCTGCCTACAGTAGGTGGGCTAACTCATGAAATGTCAACCAAAATTGCAAAATGCGTTCTCGTTTCGAAAAGATTACTTAAGAAGGGTTTTAAAATTAGTCATCGCGCGGCCCATAATTACATAATAATTCTGTTACCTCAGGATGTTGGCTTTCGAACGAACTTCTTCCCGGCAGCATGCAAAAACTATACTCTGTAAAAATGACTACTTACGTAGCATGCATTCTCCCACCGATGTTCGATGTCCTTAAAAATTCAATAATATTTCATGAAAAACATGCATAGAAATATTCATTCTTTTGCTAATTCGCTAGGAAATTACGTCTTCTTCCAATTTTGTACTCAAAGGAAAGGTATAATTCGGGTTTGAAAAGTTTCTTACTGTCAGATTTTTTAAATCCATGAAATGGCTGTTCGTAAAACGTCCTGTCTCTGCATTTATAAATGTGGTTTGTAAAGTTAACAATGTTGCTAAAATCCACGGCTTAATTTTAGGAACCCCCATATAGTCTCCTCTTACCACCGTAGAGAAATGTATGGTTTTCCGTACGCGGAAAATATACGGCTTGTAGTTTGGGAACCCTGAATGCGAGTGTAACGGCAGGCCGGGTTCAAAATTATTCGGGAACTGGAAAAGTTTTTGAAAACTGAATTATGCCCTTCCTTCGAGTGTAAAAATTGAAGAAGGCGTAATTTCCTACCGCATGAGCAAAAGAATGAGTATTTTTATGCGTGTTTTTCATGAAATGTAATTGAAATTTTAAGGGCATTGGAAATCAATGAGAAAAATGCATGCCACATAAGTAGTGATTTTTTAGAGAGCATAATTTTGCAAGTAGACGGAAAGACGTTCGTTCGAAAGGCGACATCCTGAGGTAACTGAATTATTATAACGCATTTCAGAATTTCGGTTGACATTTCATGATTTGACCCACCTACTGTATATGAGATATGAAGGTAGATTTCTGAACAACCACCTACACCCGCCAATTATTTTTACACAATAGTTTTGGTTCGTTATTGAAAGCGTGGCAAGTAAGACCCTAATGAGAGACCATCTTGAGTCTGGTGACCTCGAGAATGAACTCTCAATAGAGTTTATATTCTAGGTGGAAGGTACGAGACGGCGAGAATTAAAATCTGAAAAATGGAAACAAACCTGGGTGAGGCATCTGTGATACGAAAGAGTCGATTGGAGGTGTGCGGTTTCGGAGACCAGGAGGGGTCGACGCGCGGAGAATCAGCCGATAGTTCGTAGAGGCCAAACAGGCTTTTTGGCCAGTAGACACCGGCATTCGCGTCAGCGTCGTTGTGCTTACGTCGGAGAGCCACGGTCAGGTCAAAAATGGAGCTGGCATTACTGCCGCTGCCGCCGCCGCCGTTGGCCCGTTGAAGAGCTCCCGCGGCAGCGGCGCCGGCGGCCAACCAGAGACGCTCGGAGACCCGGTGAGTGGTGCGACGACTCAGACTGGTCTCTGAGACTGTGCGAATGGCGTAGAGGGGAGTCTTCTCCGACTCTCCGATGTAGAGAGCTGGTCTGTTGGCGGGTGGCAGAAAGGAAGAAATAGGAGGGAGGTGAGGGCACCCGCTAGAAGCGTACAAACAGGATGGCCACCACCACTTCTACGCACGGCGGTTCGTCAGTCGTAATCAATAATAATTGTCTTCTGTTCTCATGGTTTGAATGGTGACTGGTGTTTCAGTGGTATGTATCGCAGAGCAATGAGTGCCGTCACAGGCCGAAATCCATGTCAGCATCGGATTTGCACAGACTATACTGCTGCGATTGGACAGAGGGGTAGTTGACCGTATTGAGGCAGACAACCGGACGTCCGGCTACTTTAGTCGGGACACAGAGCGTAGTTGCGCAAAGAAGCCTGGGGGAAGATCGGCGGTGTTTCTGATCGAGGGTCCACATTTCTGTTGTTACAGTGTCCCAAGATGCCAATGCGGCTCTCTGCAGTTTGTGACTTGCAGTGACCTGATTACTCGATAAGACTCTACTAGTATTTAAACCAGTTGCCGAACAGTGTTTGTTCAATGGTAGGGGGCGCTCACCGATCGTTCATACGGAACTCACTCGTCCCGTTGTGCCTTAAGAGCTCTCTCGAGCCCAACCAGCAGCCGCACAGCGGCGCATGATATACAGGCAGAATGGAATTACCGACAAAGACAAGGGAGACTGGAATGGCCATTTCTAGCTTATTAGCCGTCGTCAGCCAGCCATACCCAAGCCCGAAGTGTGGAACACCCGGGCTGCCTATATATCATGCGCCGCTGTGCGGCTGCTGGTTGGGCTCGAGAGAGAGCTCTTAAGGCACAACGGGACGAGTGAGTTCCGTATGAACGATCGGTGAGCGCCCCCTACCATTGTATATTCCCGATCGGAAACCGACAGGGCAACGGGCTCGTGGCCCCCTGGGTAGAGGCGTGGACTTCTAAATCAACAGGTCGCGAGTTCGAGGCTCGGGTGTTCCACACTTCGGGCTTGGGTATGGCTGGCTGACGACGGCTAATAAGCTAGAAATGGCCATTCCAGTCTCCCTTGTCTTTGTCGGTAATTCCATTCTGCCAGTGTTTGTTCACGCGCGGTGATCAGCTACAACGGACCCGGGTAGTTTGCCTCCAGTGACGAAGACTAAACAACAAAGGGCCTGTATGTCTTGACGGAGAGTATTGCATTAGGCATTGAGCTGACCTCTTCGCTGCATGCGCTCGGACAGCGAGGTCACATTCAGAGCAGAAGGCAAGAAAGAACTTGTTCAAACCACATCACATGTCTTTCTTAGATGACGTCGGATGACCTCACTATGGTATCGCATGGGTGGACTGCCTCATTTGTGACGAAAGTGTTCATCGGTTTCGTCAGGAATCGAACAGTTCGCACATGCTTGACCCCATGTCATCCAAGAAAGAGTTTGAAGGTACAATGAGTGACTGATTTGATGAAATGTTAACCGAACTTCTGAAATGCGTATTCGATTGGGAAGGATTATCTATGTAAGGCTGTAATAATGATTACAATGCAGCATAATCCTATCGTACTTCGGACTAGCCAGGATGTTGGTTTTTGAATACACTTCTTTTCGGCCACCTGTACTCACTGCACTCGGTAAAAAGTGACTACCTGAGTAGTATATATTTGTTCTACAAACTTAGGGTGCCCATATGAATCCAAGCATATTTTATAGAAAACCTCCATAAAACACCTTTTCTTGCACTCATTTGGGGACGCTCGCGCGTTTGAGTGACAGACAACGTACCTACCCGTGGCACAGACAACATAAAACTGAAGTGTCGAGGAGCTGTCAACACCCATATCCCCCCTACGCGCCCTCTCAGTTGGACTGTGCAGGTGAAAGGTGGGCTGAAAGTGAAGACTGCTCGCCTCCACCACCGACCTCGAGTGAACCACGTCGGCTTCGTCAGGGAACAGACAGTCCACATATGCTGCACCACAGTAAGGATATCCCATGTCATCCAAGAAAGAGGTTGAAGACACAATCAGTGACCCATCTCACGAAATGTTAACCAAAATTCTGAAATATGTATTCGATTGGGAAGGATGACTTAAGCGGGGTTGCAATGCTGATTATCATGCGGGACAGCGTAGTAATATTTCAGACAGGCTGGAATGTTTGCTTTTAGATTTGCTTCTCTTGTATTAGGTAATACCATACTAACAGCACAGGCACTAGCCAAAAGACATACACGCGTGTTTCGCCGATGTTTTGCCGCTGCATGGCGCAGCTGCGAGGGGTTCGGCTCGTCAGTGGTATAAAATTCTCGGTCTGAGCCTATACACCTTGAATAAACTGATCTACTCCAACTTCGTAGATAATTTCTGAGGAAATTACAAAGCGACAAGATGTACTTCTTTTCGGCCTACTACAAATACAGCACTACGTAAAAATAGCTACTTGAGTAGTATGCATTTCCTCTATCAACTTACCTTGTCCTTGTAAATTTTGCACAAAACGCTCAGAAAAATATTCTTTCTTGCACTCATTTGGTAGAAAACCACGCCTACTTCAAATTTTATGCTGGAAGAAAGGATATCTTCCGGTCTCAAAAAGGTTTCGAGTGATGGGACCGTTTAAGGCCGTGGAATGTCCATCCAAATAGCATTGTATCTGTATGTTTAATAATGCTTTTTATGAAGCATACAGTACGTGACCTATTTCACGAAACCTGATAACGGAAACTGATGCGAGAACTTTGGACGTCTTAAACGTTGCGCATTTTGATTGCGCATCCAGCCCCTTCAAGGAACTGTCCTTTTCTTGTGCAGAAATTGTGTTCACGTAATTTTGTCAAGCACGCTTTAATGCAGTAGGTAATATGACTCATGAAAAATCACTAACCAATTGGAAGTCAGACCAAGTGCATCCACCAAAACAACAAATTGATAATGAACAACCGTTAGTTAAATGAAAACACAAAATACAGTAGAAGTGCTAACTCATGAAATGTCAACCAAAATTTCGAAATGCGTTCTCGTTTCGAATAGGTAAATTAAGTAGTGTTGTAAAACTAATCATGATGCAGCATAAATCTATAATGATCCAGTTACCTCAGGGTGTCGGCTTTCGAAAGAACTTATTTTCGGCTGCATGCAAGATCTATACTCTGCAAAAAATGACTACTGAAGTAGCATGCAATTTTCTTATTGATTTTCGATGTCCTTGAAAATTAAATTATATTTCATGGAAAGCATGCATAAAAATATTCATTCTTTCACCTCTTCGGTAGAAAATCACGTCTTTTTCCGATATGATACTCGGAAGAAGTGTATAATTCGGTTTGAAAAAACCTTTCTAATTCCCGAATAATGTTGAACCCGACCTGCTGTTACACTTGCATTCTGGGTTTCAAAACTACAAGCTGTATATTTTCCGTGTACGGAAAACCATGCATTTCTCTACGGCGTTAAGAGGAGACCATGTGAGGTTTATAAAATTAAGCAGTGGATTTGAGCAATATTGTTAACTTTACAAGCCACATTCGTAAATGCAGATACATGACGTTTCATGAACGGCCATTTAACGGTATTGAAAAATCTCACAATTAGAAACTTTTCTAAAACCGAATTATACTCTTTTTGAGTATGAAATTGGAAGAAGACGTGATTTTCTACCGAATAAGTAAAAGAATGAATATTTGTATGCATGTTTTCCATGAAATATAATTGAATTTTCAAGGGCATCGAAAATCAATGAGACAATTGCATACTAATTAAGTAGTCATTTTTTGCAGAGTATAGATCTTGCATGCAGCCGAAAATAAGTTCTTTCGATAGCCGACACCCTGAGGTAACTGGATCATTATAGATTTATGCTGCATCATGATTAGTTTTACAACAATACTTAATTTATCTTTTCGAAACGAGATCGCATTTTGAAATTTTGGTTGACATTTCATGAGTTAGCACATGTACTGTAAATATATGGATTACTGAAAAAAGGAGAGGTTCTTCGGAAAAAATTTAGTTGTACTCGTGAATTTTCGAATTGGTGACACCAACCCGTCGTCAGAAGAAATGAATATAAAGGAGAAAGTGAGACAGTCACACTAGACTAGTTGACGCGTCAGGACAGACATTGACGGGCGGACCATTAGCGTGTGAGGGGGGATGCGGGCAGGTAGTCATACTGGGTTCTGAATTACTGTTTTCTTGGTTAAAAGTAACCACATACAACATAGGCCACATTTGTTGCACAATTTTATAAGACCTATATGGTATCTAACTAATACATTTTGGATTAATAAGGTCGTTGAAAATCGATAAAAAGTGCATGCTACTCAAGTAGTCGTTTTTTTTTTTACTAAGTTCAGTAGTTGCAGGCAGCCAAAAAGAAGTGCATTAAAGAGCAGACGCCCTGGCGTGTCTGGAATATTACGACATTATGCCGCACGATAATCAGTATTACAACCCCACTTACGTAATCCTTCCTAATCGAATACGCATTTTAGAATTCCAGTTAACAGTTCATGAGATCGATCACTGGTAGTACCTTCAACCTCTTTTTTGGATGACCTGAGATATACTCACTATTGTGCAGCATGTGCGGACTGTCAGTGGTGGTGGTGGTGGTGGCGACGGCGAAAAGCCTTCACTTTCAGCAATCTTCTAACCGAACTGAAAGGGCATGTAGGTGGGGTATGGGCGTTGGCGGCTCCTCGACACTCCAGTTTTACGTTGTCTATGCCCTGGCTGGGTAGGTTGTCCGTCAATCAAACGCGTGCGCGTACCCGAAACTAGACCAGCAGACACCATGAGGGCGACGTAGGCTATTTCGGTTATTATCCCCACATCGGCTCAGTGCGTCGATTGTCAATCAGGCCGAAAGACCATGCGCGTGACGCCGAAACTTACTGCCACGGGGTATATCAGGTTTATTACTGTTATTATGCCCACGTGCAAGAATAGACTGAGGGGTGGTTGGAGGCGCGGAGAGAAGGGGCTTCTCCACGTGCAAACAATGGCCCGATGCGGAGGGTTGGGGGGGGGAGTACCGAGGAATATGCAGTCAGGAGAATAAATAATGGTCCTGTACCCTCGTGAGGCAGCCATGTATGTGCATTGGGTGGACACACACAAGTCGATTTATATGATGGTACCGCATGAGTCAGCCTGTACTATTGGCAACATACACCATTACTGATTCAGTGGACTGCTGGTACTGCAGGCCGACTGCATGGCGAATGAGTGTTTTTCAATGTAGTCGGCCGGCGATAGACTCTTGAGCGAAGGTGAGCCGGTTAGCACGTTAGTTGCACCGGCCAAGGAATGCTATTAGTCGTCTCAGCGTCAGCTTCCGTCACATCCACCCGGGACTTCCCGCTGATTGCCTTGGCGCTGTCCCCGGCCAAGGCCGGGTTTTGAAAATGACCGAATGTGTTGTGAAGGCAGATGGCGGAGCCATCTCAGCTGGGGTGGTGCATTTGACCGACTGTGTTCTGCCCTGACTGCAACCTCTAGTTGGGCAAATGATCGGAGAGACAGTCTCGGAGGATGCTTCCAGAAAGTGTGCATCTCCTGAGCGCATGGACCAAGATCAATAGCGGGAGAAATGTTATAGACGTTCGCTTGATAAGATAGTCAAAGTTATTTTCACCTTGTCTCTGGTACACAGATAAAAAGATGGGGGAGGAGGAGGGAGTGTGGTAGATGCAGCGCAAGTCTGCTCTCACGATAAATCACACGCGAGTCACCGTCCTCGCTCTCACTCTGGGGTGGAGCAGCATACGGTGGACATCGTCGGATGCGACGGTACAAAGATGTGCCCAACGTAGCCGGAGGTATCTACCAGCCTGACAGACTTATCACCTACAGGGGACTGCGAAATATATGCGACCATGAAACCTGGGGATTGGGGAAAATTAGTCCGGGGAGCACTTATCTCGTTTTTTAACTTGTTTGTGTTTCAGTGACTCATATTTTAGCCAGCGCAAAGACGTCATCAGAACAGACAAGAGATCCGTAGCACAAGAATCAAGAACTACTGTAATGTGACTGCAACCTCTCGTTGGGCAAATGATTGGAGGGACAGTTTCGGAGGATGGGAATTAAGTGGATGCTTCCAGAAAGTGCGCACCACCTAAACGTATGGGCCATGATCAATAGCGGGAGAAATGTCACCGGGGTCCGGTTGGTCCAGTAATCAACGCTATCTTCACCTCGTCTCTTTGGAACAAAGATGGACCCAACATAGCCGGAGATATCTACCAACCTGAGAGACTTATCACATGCAGGGAGCTGCGAAATGTAGGCGACCACGAAACCTGGAGCTATCGTCTTTGCATTGGGGGAACTTATTTCGGGGAGCACTTAGGCCGTCTTTGAATTTGTTTCCGTTTCAGTAGCTTATATTTTCGCTGGCACAGCGACGTCCTCGACACAGGCAAGATCCATGGTACACAAACCAAGTACTGTGATAGCAGAATGATTGGTCCGATCGGAGGAAAGTGCCGATGGACTACGCTAATGACCGGATAGTAGCAAAACAAATAATAATGTTTTGATGAGTGATATCAAGTAAAAGCCGGCAAGGTGGGGTTCGACTCGACTTAAACTCGACTTCATCATCAACTCGACTTCTCCGGTCCTGCTGACCAACAGTAGACGTGCCATCACGAAATGTTGACCAATCAGTTCAGAAATGCGTGTCAGATTCGAAAAAGCTAACTCATGAAATGTCCACCGAAATTCCGAAATGCGTTTTCGTTTCGAAAAGATTAATTAAGTAGAGTTGTAAAACTAGTCAGCCTGCAACATGATTTTATGATAGTTCAGTTACCTCAGGATGCCGGCTTTCGAGTGAACTTCTTTCCGGCTGCATGCACAAAAATACACTCCGTAAAAAATTATTACTTAAGTAGCATACATTTTTCTCATTGTTCATCAATGCCCTTAAAATTTCAATCACATTTCATGAAAAACGTGCATAAAAATATTCACCCTTTTACTCATTCGGTAGATAATTACGTCTTCTAATTTTATTCTCGAAAGAGAGACACAATTCGGTTTTCAAAAAGTTTTCCAATTCCCAAATTATTTTGAACCCGACCTGCCGTTACACTCGCATTCAGGGTTTTAAAAACTAGAGGCCGTGTATTTTCCGCGTACGGAAAACCACACATTTCTCTACGGTATTGAGAGGAGACCATATGGGGTTCATAAAATTGAGCATTGAATTCGATCCATACTGTTAACTTTGCAAGCCATACTGGTAAATGCAGAGACATGACGTTTTATGAAGGGCCATTTCACGGTATTAAAAAGTCTCACAATTAGAAACTGTTTTAAAACCGAATTGTGTCCCTCCCTCGAGTATAAAGTTGAAAGAAGACGTAATTTTCTACCGAATGAGAGGAGGAATGAATATTTTCATGCATATTTTCCATGAAATATAATTGACTTTTTAAGGGCATCGAAAATCAATGAGAAAAATGCATGCTACATAAGTAGTCATTTTTTACAGAGTGTAGTTTTTACATGCAACCGGAGAGAAGTTCGTTCGAAAGCCAGCATCCTGAGGTAACTGAATCATTATAGAGTTATGCTGCACGATGATTAGTTTTACAACCATACCTAATTAATCTTTTCGAAACAGAGACGCATGTCGGAATTTCAGTTGACATTTTATGAGTTAGCCCACTACTGTACTTAAGTAAGGTTGCAATACTAATTACAGCGCACCATAACCCCAAGATATTTCCGCCACGCCAGGATGCTGACAGGCTCCTTTCCTTTGTACACCGAGTAAAAAGTCACTATTTAAGTTGTGTGCATTTTTCCTGTTGATTTTATATACCCCTATAAATTCGACTATACTTTATAGAAGGTAAGACCGTGAAACCTGCGCTCATAAAGCATCGTATTTGCCAATCTATTGATGCTGCATACAAAGTACACGATACGCCAACACCCATTGCAAATTTAATCTGTTCCTTATCACCTTTCCTTAATAGCGTATAGAAATGTGCGATTTTACTTACATGTAAACTATCCAACGTGTAGTTTGGAAACTTCAAATACAAGTTTGACGGCAGTTCAACTTTAAAATAATTCGGTAATTAGAAAAAGTTCTGCAAAACCGAGAGATACCCTCAACCGAAGTACCAAAAAATTACAAGAAAAACATATTTGCGCATGATTTCTATAAAATATATTCGAATTTATAGGGGAATCGGAAATCAACGGAAGAATGCATACTACTTAAGTGGTCGTCTTTTGCGCAGTGTAATTTTTGCTGTCAGCTGGAAAGGAGGCCCTTCAAAAGTCAGAATCCCGGCATGACTGAGATGTCCTGGGATTATGTTGCACGCTAATTGATATTTCAACCTTACTCAAGTAGCACTTTCGAGCCGAAAACACACTTCGGAACTGATTGGTTACCAGTTCAGGAGACAGCACGTCTACTCTGGTTTTGTTGCTGAGACGTGCAAGTGACCACGACGTCCCTGGAGCACTCCTCCTTGACGGGTGAGCTGTCATAACGGGTTCGTCGTGCGCTGAGACGTCGTCTCGCTCGAGCCCGCTCTCAGTTGATGAGGCGTATCGAAACCAAGACATTGATGAATGTGCTGGAATCGGACCGTGAGCAACTACGTCGGAGGAACTGAAAGACTGCTCCGGAGGCCAATTGCCGAACACGCGGTAGCGGTACGGAGAAATGACGTCAACTCTCAGGTCGCGGCCCATTCGACGAGACCCGGCCACACATTCAAGTTGGATTAGGTCCAAATTCTCGCGAGAGGGGATAAGCGCGTGAGCCGCGAGTTGCTCCGGTCATGGTTCACGGGACCTCAGGCTGTCAACAAATGCAACGACATCCGCACTCCATATTTCGTGCTGAGACATTGATGAATGCGCTGGAATCGGACCGTGAGCAGAGCGCTTGCACCAAAACCAGCGTCTTGAACGGCTGTTACGAAAAGCCGTGTGGAGCTCAGCCGCACTACTAGGTAGAAAACAAAGTAGTCATGTGGAACGCTGCTAAAAATGCAGACACGTGCATTTACCTAAACTCTGCGCACGTGTGAGGTCGAGACGTCGGTGTGGCGCGCTTAAACTGACTAAAACAGACAAAGAGCCGTGGCCTACAAGGCTGCCGACTAGCGGGATAACTCGGCCCTTCTCAGGACTGGGAGTCAGGTTGCGGTGGCTACTTCTGGATGTGGCCTTAACGACGTCCACGCACACAAGACCAGGGAACCGAGTCGTGTGTGGCACGCGTAGACGGGTTGCTCAACTTGGCCGGCGTCCACCTCTAGTCGCCTTGACACTGTCTTCCTATCACAGAGAAGAGAGTGCGGTAGATGCTGCGCAAGTGTGAATCAATATTAACTAATTCACGTGCAAGTCACCGATGCTACGGACACTCTGTGGGGCAGGGAGTGGGTGTCGTCGCTTGGAAGAGCCGAAGCGACAAGACGACAAACAACAAGGACACCTGCGACGCGGAGGGATAGCAAAACTGTTTCGCTTACACCAGATTCAGCGGTCCACAAAGTTTGTCCTCCCATAAGGCAGCCTCAATGTAAGACGGCAGATGTGGCGCGTAGAAGGTGGCGTTAAGATCGAGGGCGTAGGTGGTGAAGATGAGACGGCGCAGTTGATAGGCTCGCCTTGGGCGTGGCTGAGACTTGCCAGGATCCTCATCCCTCTCATCGTCGTCGTCACCATCGAAGGGGAACTGTGAGGCTGCGTTCGGCTGGTCTGCATTCAGGACGGCAGCAAGGGAGCGTGCGTCAGAAAGCGGTACCAGAGGCGTCGCTGGCTGTTGCTCCGTCAGCGGTGGGCTGTAGACCGTGAAGAGATCGACCACAGGAGAAGAAAGAGGCAGGCGCCAAAGGACTGAAAGGCCAACGTAGTGATGCATGTCAGGAAAGTGCTTTTACGGTGGTGGAGCGCGCACCGATCGCCTTAGAAAACTTACTCGTCCCGCTGCGCCTTGAAGCTCTCTCTCTCGAGCCCTGCCAGCAGCCGCACAGCAGTGCGTAATATAGGCAGAATGGTATTACCGACAAAGACTAGGGAGACTAGAGTGGCCATTTCTGGTTTATTAGGCGTCGTCAGCCGGTCATACCCAACCCCCAGGTGTGGGGCCCTCGAGGTTCAAGTTCACGACCTGTTGGTTAGAAATCCAAGACTTTAACCACGAGTTCGTCGTCCTGTCGGTTGCGATCGGGAATATACAATGGCAGAGGCGTGCTCACCGGAACTCATTCGTCCCCATGTGTCTTAGGGCCTTCTCTCGAGTCCAGCCAGCAACCACACAGCGGCACGTAATCTAGGCGGAGTTGGGTATGACTGGCTGACGACGGCTAATAAGCCAGAAATGACCATTCCAGTCTCCATTGCCTTTGCCGGTAATACCATTCTGTCTATATTACGTGCCGCTGTGCGGCTGCTGGTTGGGCTTGAGAGGGCGAGCCCGTAAGGCACAACGGGACGAGTGAGTCCGGTAACCTGATCGATGATCGTTCCTTCTACTATTGTACAACAGACTTTTGGATAAAGCAGTGGCGATTGAACTTCGAAATCAGTCCTTGTTTCCCTGTCTTTTTTTTTCCGATGGATATCGAACACATTTAGGCAAGGTAGTACAAAAACCCTTCTAAAGGAAAGTCTGAGGGCATCTATGTAAACTACCCGGTATTTTGGTTCTGATGGTAGAGGGGGGCGCCCCGAACAGAAGTGAAGGGACGCCGGACGGCAGCCGACTTCGAGGCATGCGCGGGTCGAGTTAATCGGCAGCAACGGCGGCGGGAAGCGGGGGGGGGAAGTGGCGTTACTTGCACCCACATTAGCAGTGAAGGAAACAACGGAGACGCCGAATGCGCACTCTTTAATGTGTCTTGTTTTGGTGTAAACAGAAAGCTCCTGACTATCTATTTTTGGTCGCGATATAACCAGCGAAAAAAATGTCACTACCGATACGCCCCCGCGCCTTTGAGATGTGAATGCTGGCAGGCGTTAAGCCGAATGGCGATAGTGAAAAACAAGGACATAATATCATAGCGGGGGCGGCAGGAGTCAACCTGCGTGGATAAACCACGAGCAACCTAGTGCCTGGGGACGCAGTTATGAATTTCATTACCATCGATGGCAATTTGGCGCAGTTCAAATCTATGACCCCTTCTGTCAAACAATCGGAGAAGATGGAAATCATAATGAGTGACGTGGTTACTTCCAAAATGTTGCTGATCGACTGACCGAAATACATATATATATATATATATATATATATATATATATATATATCTAATGTTAGGGGGCGCTCACCGATCGTTCATACGGAACTCACTCGTTCCGTTGTGCCTTAAGGGCTCTCTCTCGAGCCCAACCAGCAGCCGCGCAGCGGCGCATGATATAAAGGCAGAATGATATTACCGACAAAGACAAGGGAGACTGTCGGTAATATCATTCTGCCTATATATCATGCGCCGCTGTGCGGCTGCTGGTTGGGCTCGAGAGAGAGCCCTTAAGGCACAACGGAACGAGTGAGTTCCGTATGAACGATCGGTGAGCGCTTCCTAACATTGTATATTCCCGATCGAAAACCGACAGGGCAACGGGCTCGTGGCCCGGTGAGTAGAGGCGTTGACTTCTAAACCAATAGGTCGCGAGTTCGAGGCTCGGGTGTTCCACACTTCGGGCTTGGGTATGGCTGGCTGACGACGGCTAATAAGCCAGAAATAGCCATTCCAGTCTCCCTTGTCTTTGTCGGTAATATCATTCTGCATATATATATATATATATATATATATCTATACATGTATGTATATATATGTATATAGATGGTCGCGGTTTATACCAGGCAAGTGTTTCGCCGATGTTCCTGTTGCTGAATGACGGGACTGGGAGTGGGTCAGCTCTTCAACGTGTCCCTCAGACTGTATTGGGGGTATGGCATAAGCTACCGTCACATAAAATTATACTACTAGGAGTGCTTCGTTTGCGGAATGGATACTACGTGATTGTTCGGCAGAAATTGATTGGCTTCAACTCAAATGTTCGTTGAAACTTTGAGCGTCATGCAGCAGCAGAAATATCGGCGAGACACGCGTCCAGGCCTTTAGCCAGTATCAATGCTGGGTGTTCCGATGAACATGAATCTTGTCGCCTTCGGTCGCGCAAACTTCGGGCTGACCATAAAAACGGACAAAGCGGTGGTTATGGAGCAGCCAAACACTCAACACGACGGTCCCTGCGTCGGTGTACTCGACACAAAATCGTGGGCAATTCAGTCTATCTAGACGGTACACTCTCATGCAGAATAAAAATCGACGACCAGCATTGTTAAGAGAGGTGCGGCAATATACGAACCGAACGGCATCGCCGATGTCATAGTCAAAAGAGCAATTTACAATTTTCCGGCATCCCCGATCCGCAACGCTAACGCCCAACCTCCTCCAAAGTGTTCACGCAACCAACGAGTATTCTGGGCGCAGACTGGCTTCGTCGGACATCTCCGAACTGAATGCAACAACAAGCCCGGCAACTCCATGTGCTTCCTCTACAAACGTGTCCATTGTCATTCCTGAACCAGCTCCCACGGGGTCCATGACGGCGACAACAATCACCAGCATCGCCAGCGCCGGTGATCACATTCCTAGTGCCCTGACGCCAGCTACGTCATTGACCACCACCACCGCCACCATCACCTCCGACACAATCCCGGCGACGACCACTGTCACCTTTCAGACCCCCACCACCGGCGAGAACATTCCCGACACCACCGTCTCCACTACTAGAAATGTGGATTAGACTCTAACCTGTACTCATGGCGATCACACTTTCGACTCACGCACCGGCATGGTCGGTCATTTACGAATTCATTGCATTGGGAGCTGAGAACCAGTGCCAGGAGCCTCGCGACATGCACTCACCGTATCCGTACTGTGCATACACATCAAGGGTATTGCCTATTACCCTAAATATACTATTGTTCATTCACCACAAGGGTCTATTCGACCACATGCGTATCCACGACGGCGGAATTAACTGCAATGACTACATCCCAAGTTCACCTTGCACATCCAAAAGCTCTTTCATTTCCAGTACTGTTAACTATCCATTCACCGGTGCAGTAAGCCTTACAATCGACTCAACAGCTGCCAACCACCCTGCCCATACTGTCATCGCACATGCGCACCACGCATCGGCCTCGTCGGTCACTTGCGCATTCCCCACACTAAGACCAGCGAAACGTGTCACAAAATACACTCAAAGCATCCACCTCAACTGCACACACCGCGCACACACATTTAACCATCGCATTGGCCCATCCGGTCACGCGCGCCCCCATGCTTATGTGTGGTAAACCGTCGCAGATCAAACCCTACTGCCACATACACCACACACGAACCCGTCCCACGCAAATCACTGGGGGCACAGAAAAAACCCTTTCATTTAAGAGGGTGGGTAGGAATCTTCCGCTCCTTCTCCATGTGACCCCCCTGCTACCGTAACACATGTGACCTCCGATCCGCCTAACATCCTTGTGCGAAAGACCTACTACTGCTACTGCTGTTGCTACTACTACTACTACTGCTACTGCTGCTGCTGTTGTTGTTGTTGCTGCTGCTGCTGCTACTACTACCACCCCCACCACCACCACCACCTACATCGCCGTAGTCCCTATAGTAATCCCGAGCCGCTCAAAGCACGCAAAGCAGCCTACCTATTTGAGTCAATGTCTGCGGCTGAACACTCGTAGCATAAACACCAACCTGAACTCCTGGATGATATACATAAACAGGAACGCCTAATTAGCCAATCAAGGGAAAAATGTGTTCTGAGATCTCATACTCTCGACTAGAGAGTGGCGACACCATATGCTTCACAAACTGGGGACCAACATCGTGTGGCAGGTGTTAAGCGCCTGCAACGAGTGGGTGAAAATCGGGTGGGACAGGGAAGGACGACTTACACTTGGTCCCCGAGAAAGTGACCACAGAGGGCTGCAACGTGGCCACATGGGTCAGATCTAAAAAACGGGGAATGAATGCATTAAGTCAACGCGGACAGTGAGCTGACTGTGAGAAAGAAGGCAGAAGCAGACTGCATTGTCATTTGAACATATGATGGTAACAGCAATCGCATGAGGGGACTCAAACCCAACTGCCGACGCGCAGATGACTTTACACCAAACCTGATCAACGAAAATTACTCGTCCCTATTTTAATTTATATGATCTTGTAAACCCTAAACTTACTTATCCCAGTACTCCTACAATTATCTTCGCCTGCGAACCTAAAACTGTCACGAAAGAATGAAGTTACGAATCACGTTACCCGCACAGCTCTGCAGAAGCCGTCACAGCGTACGGTGCCAAGTGAGCACGCGCAGCAAAATACCGACGGCGATGCTAAGGCGTAATCCGACGACAGTTTTAAATATCTCGGGTGAGGCTGCTGCCGAATAGACAGAGGAAGAACGACAGTGTTCCCCGAATTGATGTCGCCTGACGGGTTTTCTCAAGCCCTAGGAAATGTCTATGGATCCGACGTGACCTCTCAGGTCGCCACTGGGATTCGTGTGTACCGTGCATCTGTCCGGTCTGCCCTCTGAGGTTGTGAATGCTGGGCTTTGCGCGTGGAGGACGAGCGAAAACTGGAGGTGTTTAACCACCACTTCGGGTGAAGTACACCGACTTCGTCTCAAATGAGACAGTCCGCACTCGCTGCGACAACATCGCAAGGATAACCCAGGCCATCCAAGAAAGACGACTGAGGTGATTTGGGCATGTTCTTCGTCGTTCACCTCAGGAGCTCAGTGTTACTGCCTTCGATCCGGCACCGTTACCCCGTTGAAGAGGCCTAAGAGGGAGTCAACTCAAAACCAGGTTCGACACAGTTCGTCAAGACATGGAGGTGGTTCGGTCTCCGTCGTTGGCGAAGAGAATGGGTCGAACTGTCCAGATCTGCTGCCGCGGATCGTCACGAGTGGAGAGGTACAATTCGGAACATCATTGAAGCCGGCTAGATCAGGCATGATCGCAGCCGTGCCAAGTACAAGTGTAAGTAACTAAGTCATCCGACGAGACAGACTAAAGCAGAACTTGACCGAGCAACGGCTGTCAGTTAAAGGTGGGGGAGAATGGGGAGAAGGAGGAGGAGGAGGAGGGTGGAACGAGGGCCGACTTGGTAACTTGGTGTTCGCTGATTGACCAAGGCAAGGGTCAGTCAGTTCACTCCCCTATTTAAGTCACCCGCTTGCATACAACAAAGCTAGCAAAATCGCTAAGACCAGATAACGAATCCACTGTCTGCCGACGGATGTCGCCAACTGCTGAAGACAACAGACTTGTCGACAGATAGTCAAATTACAGGGACGGCAGCTGTCATTTCCGGAAGGGCTCAGAAGCCCGTAACTCAGTGGTCCTCCACTGCAGTGTTCTGTACCGAAGCATACCGTTCGTCCAAACTGGCGTTTGGGAGGAAAAAGTGGCTTGTCGGTTCCATCGAAATCAGACGCGCACACGGATGATTTCCTTACCGAAGCAAAAAACGAGCTGTTTTGGGTAGTGAGAGAATGTAAGAAAAACCAGGTAGTCGCCATGGCAACCGGGGCGGGGGGTTTGGACAATGGGTTGGCCCAAATGGCAGGCGGAGAAGTTACTTCGGCAAGACACCAGTTTTTTTAAGCATGCGGGCAAGTCCGGCGTCCATGTTAACGACTGTATAGACTTCCAGAAATGAAGTGAAAGTGGTGGAAAATAGGCCCTAGAAATGGGCGGTGCCTTTTTACCAAGCCAAAACGGAAGGCCGTAAACTCTGCCAACAGAAAAGTATCTGTAAGCACGTGTGAAATTCTAGAAACACACCTAATGGTACGTTGCCGAAAAACGCGCTATAAAAGGACAAAGAATGACACAAGTGGTTATCGTGGATTCTTACTTGAAGATGACTGGAAATCTGGTTCAGCCTGAGAAGAAAGCATTTGGTATGTCATGTTGAACCTAAAAGACGAACATGTTCGATGGAAGATATGGAGTTAAAATCATAAGGGTCCAATAAAGAAATACAAGCCGACTCAAATTCTGAGAGGCGGTAGAGTTCACAAATAGGGCTTACAGAAAATACTATGGTTCTAGCGGCGATTGGACAGGTTGCGACGACGCCAAGCGAAAAGGGTGCACACTCAAGAAACATTGCTAATCTTTCACGGTCGGTAGCGACTGGGGCTTCAAACCATGCCTCCAAGCTGACCGCCCCAAACCAAGACCACAGGGTTCGTACTGTTCCGAACCGTAATGGAAGAATTGCTCGTTTCGTGGCTCGACACCGGTAAATATAGCGAGATTCGGAGTGGTCGGCATAAAGATTTCAAGAGCCCGTCGTGTACAGGGGGCCGAGGTCCAGCCGTCTAGTACTTAGAAGCACGCCTTCTTATGTGAACATGAAAACAGATTACGGCCTAACCCAGACCTCGCCCAGGTACCGATCTCGGAGAGGCCATGGTAGATGGAAAACCTGAAGCAATCTAATAATCAAAATCCAGATGACCAGTCGGGGCAGAGCGGTAACTTGGACGAAAGGTAGTACTGGGTGGAGATTAACCCTCCTTTATACTCATGCAACTTCCTGTGCTACTAAATGTCCAAGGTTATATCTACGTGTTTTTTTCGGACAGAAGACAACTGTGTCAGTTTGGAACTTGACTTATCATTGAGGCTTGGCATGAGATACAGAGGCTCCGTTAAAAATACCGATTTGAAAATCTGCGCAATTTTATGCCATATTCACAGTTATAAGGACAAAGGCAGCCATTTAGCTTAAAGCACCCGGAAGTCCCAGGAACATGTACATACGTCATAAGTAACCGCGGAAAGGCCCCCAGGCAAATTACCATTTAAAATTTTCAGCATAAAGGAAGACGCTTTATGTACGACTTATTTTCCGTTGGTATGTAAATAATGAAAGCAACGGGCAACGCACCAGTCATGAATGAACTTGCAACTTTTTAATTTTCTCAGAAAGTGATCGTTAACACGGAGCGAATCAGTTTATTTGTGACTTATGGGCTCGGACCGAAATTCGATATAAAGATTTGGGTCGAAGTCCTTCGGCCACTTCGGAATAACCGCTCAATATCCATAAACTGTCAATAAACAGCCAGTAGTAAATACAGAGGCTGCGTGATGTACCATAATTGACGGGTTACACCTGGAATCCAGACACGTGTTTCGCCGGTGCGTGACGCAGCTGTGAAGGGTTCGGCTCATGAGTGGGTCTCCCAGCGTTCCCTTGTGCTTTCTGGTAGATACACCAGTTTTGAAATTGCAGTTTTTTTAATTTCCTCGATAATTACTCGCTAACTTCGAGTAAATCGGTTAGTCAGAGTCTAAAAGTCTCAAATAAACTAATGTACTCCAAATCATTGACAGATGACGGATAAAAGGCCAGAAATGGTCATCCTAGTGTTTCTATATTTGTCCGCAAACACTTCATAAAAAAATACGCAAAGGAATTTAAGGGCTGTCTTATGTTGAACGTCTTGACAACTACGAACTACAGAGACCATCTTTTCGGGAAATTGACTACTAATTCTGAAAACCGAAGTATTCATGGACATTTCAAGCACGCCTTGAAACTAGACGGATCTCAATGTCACCAGAAAGCCCAGAGTAACTTTTACGGAAGATGGATCCTCCTGGTACGCAGAAAGTGGTGGGTCCATGTGTCGCTCTGCCCACTATATCCCAAGTTCTTAGGCTCTCGGCATATTTTCTTCTGAAATGCTCCATCATTATGATATCTCCATACATGAAATCGGATAAAATTATTCCCGTCTGAACCAAGGGCATCTTGAAAAACGCAAAAAGGGGAAAATACGCACCGGACTCCCGTAAAAATACTTTTAAGCATGCGATCAAACATCATACAATTGACTAGTTGCCATACATAGTATTGCACTAATTCTTGTAGAATATATAACTGAGGCCGTTTGGATATTACTGGGCTTATGTTACTTCGTTTACACATGTTTGCATGAACATGGGGTATGCAATTCTACGAATAGAATTTACTCACTTAATGAGATTTAAGCTTTTGAAAACTTATTTCTGGTCAACGTAGTATAACCTTCAGTATTTCTTTTGTTTCTTCATGTAATTGAAGATAATTCACCACCAACTGGTGTCGATGTAATTGGGTCGGTCTCCAATGGATTAAACATTTTTCGTTAATTTACGCAAACTCCACGAATTCTGTCGCCTGCTTTAATACTTATTCGGCCACTAGTCAACGTTAGCCACAAATTTAATATTTTACACTAGCGCAATGGCCTTAGATATTTGTCTTCAAGAGGTAAGCACAAACGTATGGACTAAGTCAGATTTTTGTGTGATAAAACCAACCTCCAAAATGCGAAAAAATAACGGGGGAATCAACTTACTTTACAAGTCCCGACATTAAATCCCACAGGATGAAGTGATACTGGGAAATTCCAACTGCTAATTGATGTTCACTTTCCCGAGAGAAGCCATCGGCTTCTGAAGGAAACACCGTACCCAAATCAACGCCTTTTTTGGAGGAACACTGATCTGTCTGAAAATTGCCGGTATTTTTGATAACTCGTCCGGTGGCGAGGTCAAAGCGCAGCCAGTGGTCGCTCTTATAACCTGTGTTACAAAGTTAAATAACAACTAAAATAGGACATCAATGAGGAACCTTAAGTAGAAAAGTTTTAATTTACAGTGCGCTACCTTAGACATCACGCAATAAGCGCGAGCACGCAATTGAAACCGGAAGGAAAAATTAGTTACCAAAGAAGAATGATAAAAGCAGAAAACGAGGTGCAGTGAAAAAACTGATTTGTCGTCACCTTAAAGGGGAGGTCTACAAAAGGACTTTGAGTTCACACAGAAACTACTAATGCAAATTAACATTTAAAAAACAGTCAAAACTTGAAACGTCTAAAGCATAAAATTTGGGGACAAAAAACCAGGTCTTCATGGCCAGTAAATGAGGCGGCTACGGCACACGCGGTATCCTTATAGTTCAGTCCTAAGCGCAAGCTCAATGATGGTAGGCGCTTTATTCTTTCATATTAGTTAATTAATTTTAAGTAAGATGAGACTAGACAGGTAAACAGAATTATCATAACAGACAGATCTGTACGTACCAGTCGAATATAGTGAATTAATAAATTCTGGCGACCGGGAGACGAAGTCTGCAACTGTACTATTGAGAGAATAGAGTATGTCCTTTGAGGGGACATTTGAATAGACATATAGTCGTCCGTTAAGCGGTTCGGGAAAGATAACGGGCCTGTCAACAAGGACTAAAGCCAATTTTTGACAGCTTACCACCCACTGTAGTTACATTCCGTAGCAAAGCCTGAAGAGGGATTGCATAAAGCAAATGCTTGTGTACCTGAATTATGCTGCCAAAGTACTTTGCCGGTAATCCGGTCAACCAGAAGAAATTCCCCGCGCAGGGTGTATACGAGCATCAGGAACTCGTTGGTCTTTTGTTTGCAAAATTAAAAAAATGAAGAGTTACGAGATGTATTCTGTCTGTCCCTCCCTCGAAGGTGCAAAATATGGACAAAAGAAGGAAAAAAAGAGAAATCTGGCGCGTTGTCCAAAAAACCATCCCAACAAATCACATCCTTGGATATCCGAAAGAGACGGTTCCAGGGCAGCCCACTCAAACACACGCTGCCTATTTTTAAAAGTAAGCTTCCATAGAGCTGTATTAATGCAAACTAAACATCGATTTACATATAAAACGCGTTTGCAGAGGTTTTATTGTAAGTAGATTTGTAGAAGTAGCGAGGGGCCGATTTACATAATACTTGTGAAAAATGCCTCACGTTCCCAAGTGGATGTGTCTTGATCTTAGTCATGAGCCCTGAAAGAGACACTGAAAAACATCCGTCGATGGAAGTTTCAGTGAATGTGTGGAGGATCCGTATATTGAAAGGTGGTTATTCGGAAGAAACACCTTTTAGGTTGGGGAATCAGCCATAGCGAGAAAAGGGCAGAGTTAAAATCAGTGAGATAATACTGCTAATCGGGAGGATAATTAACTTAACAGTGATATGAACGGAGATCCGTAATGGAATGGGTAATGGACGAAAATAGGGCGCCGCAATAGGCGTAAATCATAAAGACAAGATCTTTGATTACATGTGTCTGTCACTGAGACCGTTCTGTTACACGAAGTCATATTTTTCGTCTTTAAAGTTTAAATTATCATAAACAGTAATAATAAAAGAGTTTAATCCCCAGCGCCGAGTGCACTAGCAAAACAAAGTCAACATGCAGTTAATTGGCGATAGAGAGAGAGTAATACCATGCGGGCGGTGAGACTTACAGTAAAATTTATGGTCCACTTTATGCAAAACAAGAGAAGTCGGTCACATCGATCAACTATTGTTCTTTTCGCTTACAGCGTTTGTGCCAATAATATCCACAAATTTCGAGTTTGACCTTTTCTTCTGAAAGGTTGAGCTCTGACGAAAAATCCCCTGAAATTGAAAGTGCGGGGATTTTGGGGAAAACATACTTTCAATAAAGTGTTCAGAAGAATACAACTACTGTACGAATGGGTATGGAGGAACAGGGTATGCGTATCCTATGGTTCGATGCAAATAAAAATACAAATCAGAAAATGGGTACGAAGTGATATTATACTTCCCTGGGAGCTAAGTCGTGACAGACCTGGGATTAGGCCTCGACATCTCAGTGACAAGAACAAAGTCCTAGCGAGGCCGGTGTCGAATGAATCAAAGCGTGACGGATGGGTAAATCGCTAAGTGAAGTGGTGATAAAACGTGAAGCAAGCCTCCTATATTCTTACGACCGTAGTGCACAATAACGTCCATCGCGATTCTCACGGAGAGATGTGGACAGGACAGTAACTTGCGCGTAAATAGGTTTAGAGTGGTAGAAGGCATTCGTACGCGATCCTCCCGACATGCCTAGGCCCGGCCTCAAGCACAGTTAAAAAGAACGTAGGCTTATCGGAAACAGTGGTGGATGAATCTGAACAGACTATCTGCAAGCAAGCCTAATACGCGTACGGCGGATCGTGTTTTCGCAGAAAAAATAAGTGGTCGATTAGGTTTCTATCCGAGTGAAAGGACCATACAGGCCATAGGTGCCATTGGTTAGGTTGGAAAAACAGGATTCAACATTCGATTATTTAAGGAAAGTGGAGATCGTAAAAGATATTCGAGTCTGAAGCAGACGAATGTTTTGTGCGGACGTGTTACGAACATTAACCTTTGTCTAAGGCTCTACTAACAGTGCACGTTTAGAGATGGAATAGATTTTTTGAAAGATCCAATAAAGTAGAATGATTAGAACCTGACAATGGAGCCTTATGTTTTAACTCAAAAATCTTGACGTGTTTGGTTAGAATGTGACCAAGACGGGCACCTGCGCGAGGTAAGATCCGCAAAGCCTAAAAGTGTGATGGGAAGTAAATTCACGCGATTAAAATCGCCGCATAAAAGAATAAGATATTCGCAGGACACTACAGCAAGTCTTCTCTTGAGAACAGAGTGGTTAGTTCATGACCGAATACTGAGTTGTTGGTTTGTTCAACTAAATATATTCTTCGAAGAAAAATAGGGTAAGCTTGTGGGGGTGGGAAAAGCAGGAGGGTGAATAATTAAGGACGAGTTACGAACGCTGTAATGATGATTAACAAGCTGGAGGGGAGGAGGATACGTGGAGGACTTTGATAATTATCTATATGGAAAATGTGACAGAAGCCATTTTCCAGTCATTAACCCAATGGAATTCAATGCTAGTTAGCTGGCATCTGCCTGATTAGAAAGTACGCGATAGTTTCTAGTAAGGCATGCCAAGATATGCAACACCCCTGAGCATTTAGATTCCGTTAGTAGACCGAAGGCAGGGCAGTAATTTTTGGAAAAACGTAAGGCACAGACATGAAAAGATTATCAAATGGATACCATGGGAGTAAGAATATGCAATACTTACGAATAGGGGAGAATCAGTGTTTACAAATTTAGGCAGACTTGACCGTGATTCTGTCGGCGTGTGGAGGGTCAGTTACATTATTGGTCACTTTAAAATCATACTCTTCATAGTAGGAAATTTAGTCATACGGACAGGTTCCAACAGCACGGAATTAGGTAGTTTATTGGGGTCCAAACAGAAGACTAACTTCTGCTCATTAAGTAATTAACCACGACCCAGAACCACGACACAGGCCATCCTTGATAAATAGGAGATGAGTCTGATATCTAGCAGGATGGTTAAAAACCACATCATCAAATTTAAACTGTGGGTAATCATAGGGCCATCTCGGTTCATCACTGGGAAGTGATAAGAGTTGAGGGGATAAAATGGAACCTTGAATGACTCCATAAGTATTAGGAGGAACAATAGATCTCAGTTTTCCAATCTGGACGATTTGAGTTCGGGAGGCAAACAATATCTAAGCCAAGAAACAATCCAGCCAAAGGATCCGCACTCATATGTTTTACTGAGGAGGAAATGGTGTAGCACTCTGTCGAAGGCAGAGTAGCAGTCACGAAATGCACATGTGTACGCACGAAACTCATGTCCAACCTTCTAAGAGGAAGAACAACAGCATCCAGTGCACTACGTCTGGCTTCATATGAAAATTTTAAACAGTCCGAAAAAATTGATGAGAATGACATAATGCGATTAGATAGTCTGTTCAAAGGTATCCAGAAGTGGGGAGGAGTACGAATTTGGGCGGAATGATTTATAACCAAAAGTAGCAAACTTTGCGGAATGGGATTGATCCTCACTGTACATCAACATTAGGCCTCTCTGACTCCTTGAAGGACATGTTGATAAAATGGGTCCAAACAGGTGCTACCTGGGAAGAACAGGACTCAAGGAGAAATCGTGAGACTATTCGGTTCGGCAGCCGTTGGTCCACAGCCCTCTTGTTTCTACAGCGCAGTGACAGACACAGGACAGAATACGCATGGCGATAACAAAATGTCGTTTAAGAGAAAATCGCAGTCACGGAGAGAAAGGATAATATTTTCATTCGATGAAACTGAATTGGCACCATTATGTGTCCAGTATACTACCTAGGCCAGTGAGAAGCCTCAGATTCAATCAACTATCAAAGGAGGAAAGAAGAAAAGAAGAGGCGGAAGAGATGAAAAAGGATCTGATTAAGAAACAAACCAATCAGTTAGGCGATATCTTCTCTATTAGGACATTAAGGTCCTTTAGACGGTCAAGCAGGCTTAATACGTAAGGCGGACAAGGGAGGCGACAGAAAGTGACTACAAACTAGGAGACTAAAATGTGTCATCCGAGAGAAGAAAATAAACAATCTAATTTCACATGCGCTCAGTAAACGCCCCTGGGAAGAATGCGGACTTCAGCAAAAATCAGCAAGGTCAAACTTATTTGCAAGTTTCTTCAAGTTAAGTTGTTCAGTTAAGTTCAGTTTATTTAAGGGAAACGTAGGTGTTGAACCTTTGAACTCCGTATTTGTTATAAGGGAGGGAAGTATATCAAAGTACTGAAAACGGCTACACAAAAACGGCTGCACCGAAACGGAACATATAAACAAATTATTTCAAGTGTCAAAAAACGTTAGTACTACTAAATACACTGTACAGCAGTCACTTCATGCATTATTGTGTTGTATAAGATCGTTACGATCTCCGTTATCTGAGAAAGATGAAGTGAACGCCAAAATTTGTGGCAATGGACTCAGGGCAACAATTGAATGGAAAACAAACATTACTGAGATACAGACAGTAATATTATAACGATAATTAACTGTTTGAACGGAACGCTAAGATGATATCGGTCGGGCGACATTATGACGTGTAGAGGTGCACTGATCCAACTTGAGTTTAAAAGCCTCGACGGAGGTAGGCATGACGATATTTGCAGGCAGAGCATTCAAAATCTCAACCAGTCTGTTGGAGAAGAAGGACTTCCGCGTGTCCAGCCGGGCGCCAATCACACGTAGATTGTGTGGATGATCTCGGAGGTTTATTGTGGTTGTTTATCCAAAGGAGTCTGCGGGCAAAAGACAGCAGTCCTGACCGCGCATTGTGCAGAATGTTTGTAGCAGGTCGCCATTTGGCGGTCTGCAACTCAAAGGAAAAAGTCCGAGATTTCCTCTGACGGTGGCATGGGGCTATCGACCAGAGACACCACGTCCTCAAAAAAGAAGCAGCATCGAATCTTTGTCCACAAAAGTTTTTTTCCTGTTCATAACAGCCAGCTGATGACGTATGAGTTTATAAACACAGTTGTGATGTTGGGGTAAAAATGAAACAAATGTCTGCGGAACCCCGTTTGGGATGTATAATTTCAAAGACTAACAATCGGAGAAGGCTTGAAACAAGAGCACACAAGCAAGTTTACAACAAACTGGAAAAAGGTTACCCAATCTCCGTAAAACTTTCGAACTAAATTTTCTGACAATGGAAATAGGCGCAGTGTACGCTTGGTACCCAATTGTGTTCTGGGTAATCCTCGTACGAGCTGTTTTTATTCAGCCGTTTGCCTAAGGTTAATCTTGTTTTTAAAAAGAAGAAACCAATTACAAGAGTTTAGGCTCAACCTTGAAAACTATATGTCTTCCTAAGGTTTGTGAAACCGAGGGAGTCA